TTATGGAAGGAGAAAAGAGAATATGAATGTGTAAATTCAAGAATTATGTGGATTAAAGTAAAGGTTGGATGCGAGAAGTGGGTCATAATAAGCGTGTATGCACCTGGAGAAGAGAGGAATGCAGAGGAGAGAGAGAGATTTTGGGAGATGTTAAGTGAATGTATAGGAGCCTTTGAACCAAGTGAGAGAGTAATTGTGGTAGGGGACCTGAATGCTAAAGTAGGAGAAACTTTTAGAGAGGGTGTGGTAGGTAAGTTTGGGGTGCCAGGTGTAAATGATAATGGGAGCCCTTTGATTGAACTTTGTATAGAAAGGGGTTTAGTTATAGGTAATACATATTTTAAGAAAAAGAGGATAAATAAGTATACAAGATATGATGTAGGGCGAAATGACAGTAGTTTGTTGGATTATGTATTGGTAGATAAAAGACTGTTGAGTAGACTTCAGGATGTACATGTTTATAGAGGGGCCACAGATATATCAGATCACTTTCTAGTTGTAGCTACACTGAGAGTAAAAGGTAGATGGGATACAAGGAGAATAGAAGCATCAGGGAAGAGAGAGGTGAAGGTTTATAAACTAAAAGAGGAGGCAGTTAGGGTAAGATATAAACAGCTATTGGAGGATAGATGGGCTAATGAGAGCATAGGCAATAGGGTCGAAGAGGTATGGGGTAGGTTTAAAAATGTAGTGTTAGAGTGTTCAGCAGAAGTTTGTGGTTACAGGAAAGTGGGTGCGGGAGGGAAGAGGAGCGATTGGTGGAATGATGATGTAAAGAGAGTAGTAAGGGAGAAAAAGTTAGCATATGAGAAGCTTTTACAAAGTAGAAGTGATGCAAGGAGGGAAGAGTATATGGAGAAAAAGAGAGAGGTTAAGAGAGTGGTGAAGCAATGTAAAAAGAGAGCAAATGAGAGAGTGGGTGAGATGTTATCAACAAATTTTGTTGAAAATAAGAAAAAGTTTTGGAGTGAGATTAACAAGTTAAGAAAGCCTAGAGAACAAATGGATTTGTCAGTTAAAAATAGGAGAGGAGAGTTATTAAATGGAGAGTTAGAGGTATTGGAAGATGGAAGGAATATTTTGAGGAATTGTTAAATGTTGATGAAGATAGGGAAGCTGTGATTTCGTGTATAGGGCAAGGAGGAATAACATCTTGTAGGAGTGAGGAAGAGCCAGTTGTGAGTGTGGGGGAAGTTCGTGAGGCAGTAGGTAAAATGAAAGGGGGTAAGGCAGCCGGGATTGATGGGATAAAGATAGAAATGTTAAAAGCAGGTGGGGATATAGTTTTGGAGTGGTTGGTGCAATTATTTAATAAATGTATGGAAGAGGGTAAGGTACCTAGGGATTGGCAGAGAGCATGCATAGTTCCTTTGTATAAAGGCAAAGGGGATAAAAGAGAGTGCAAAAATTATAGGGGGATAAGTCTGCTGAGTATACCTGGTAAAGTGTATGGTAGAGTTATTATTGAAAGAATTAAGAGTAAGACGGAGAATAGGATAGCAGATGAACAAGGAGGCTTTAGGAAAGGTAGGGGGTGTGTGGACCAGGTGTTTACAGTGAAACATATAAGTGAACAGTATTTAGATAAGGCTAAAGAGGTCTTTGTGGCATTTATGGATTTGGAAAAGGCGTATGACAGGGTGGATAGGGGGGCAATGTGGCAGATGTTGCAAGTGTATGGTGTAGGAGGTAGGTTACTGAAAGCAGTGAAGAGTTTTTACAAGGATAGTGAGGCTCAAGTTAGAGTATGTAGGAAAGAGGGAAATTATTTCCCAGTAAAAGTAGGCCTTAGACAAGGATGTGTGATGTCACCGTGGTTGTTTAATATATTTATAGATGGGGTTGTAAGAGAAGTAAATGCGAGGGTCTTGACAAGAGGCGTGGAGTTAAAAGATAAAGAATCACACACAAAGTGGGAGTTGTCACAGCTGCTCTTTGCTGATGACACTGTGCTCTTGGGAGATTCTGAAGAGAAGTTGCAGAGATTGGTGGATGAATTTGGTAGGGTGTGCAAAAGAAGAAAATTAAAGGTGAATACAGGAAAGAGTAAGGTTATGAGGATAACAAACAGATTAGGTGATGAAAGATTGAATATCAGATTGGAGGGAGAGAGTATGGAGAGGTGAATGTATTCAGATATTTGGGAGTGGACGTGTCAGCGGATGGGTCTATGAAAGATGAGGTGAATCATAGAATTGATGAGGGAAAAAGAGTGAGTGGTGCACTTAGGAGTCTGTGGAGACAAAGAACTTTGTCCTTGGAGGCAAAGAGGGGAATGTATGAGAGTATAGTTTTACCAACGCTCTTATATGGGTGTGAAGCATGGGTGATGAATGTTGCAGCGAGGAGAAGGCTGGAGGCAGTGGAGATGTCATGTCTGAGGGCAATGTGTGGTGTGAATATAATGCAGAGAATTCGTAGTTTGAAGTTAGGAGGAGGTGCGGGATTACCAAAACTGTTGTCCAGAGGGCTGAGGAAGGGTTGTTGAGGTGGTTCGGACATGTAGAGAGAATGGAGCGAAACAGAATGACTTCAAGAGTGTATCAGTCTGTAGTGGAAGGAAGGCGGGGTAGGGGTCGGCCTAGGAAAGGTTGGAGAGAGGGGGTAAAGGAGGTTTTGTGTGCGAGGGGCTTGGACTTCCAGCAGGTATGCATGAGCGTGTTTGATAGGAGTGAATGGAGACAAATGGTTTTTAATACTTGACGTGCTGTTGGAGTGTGAGCAAGGTAACATTTATGAGGGGGTTCAGGGAAACCGGCGGGCCGGACTTGAGTCCTGGAGATGGGAAGTACAGTGCCTGCACTCTGAAGGAGGGGTGTTAATGTTGCAGTTTAAAAACTGTAGTGTAAAGCACCCTTCTGGCAAGACAGTGATGGAGTGAATGATGGTGAAAGTTTTTCTTTTTCGGGCCACCCTGCCTTGGTGGGAATCGGCCAGTGTGATAATAAAATAAAATAAATTACACAAGCCTCTGGTTATAACATTCAGAGTAGAACGTACAAATGAACGAAAGAGTGAAGGAGCACTGCAGAAGGCCTACTGGCCCATACTCGGCATGCCTCTCAAATTAACATATTTGGGGTAGCCCGGTGGCCCGGTTCCCGGCGGGTGGAAACATTTCGACACGTTTCCTTACACCTGTTGTCCTGTTCACCTAGCAGCAAATAGGTACCTGGGTGTTAGTCGACTGGTGTGGGTCGCATCCTGGGGGACAAGATTAAGGACCACAATGGAAATAAGTTAGACAGTCCTCGATGACGCACTGACTTTCTTGGGTTATCCTGGGTGGCTAACCCTCCGGGGTTAAAAATCCGAGCGAAATCTTATCTTATCTTGTCTAACCTATTTTCTAAAGCTGCTACGATGGATGTTAATAAAAAAACAGGTAATGGTGACATATAATAATTAAAGTCTACCAACGGTGCATTCAATGGATTATTCTATCTATACTTACTAATTACATGTATAATTAATTTAGTAAATTTGACTGATTGAGGTCCATCCTGAGAATTTATAATAATAATAATAATAATAATAATAATAATAATAATAATAATAATAATAATAATAATAATAATAATAATAATAATAATAATAATAATGTTTATTTCTACCAGTATATGATACAACTTATACAGACCATAGTTAAGATCAAGAGGAGGTTGAAGTCCCAGGACCGAAATGTTTTCCAATATGTATGTCCTGTTACTCACCTAATTGTGGTTGCAGGGGTCGAGACTCAGCTCCTGACCCCGCCTCTTCACTGGTCGCTACTAGGTCCTCTCTCTCCCTGCTCCATGAGGTTTATCATACCTCATCTTAAAGCTATGTATGGTTTCTGTCTCCACTACATCACTTGCCAGACTATTCCATTTCCTGACAACTCTATGACTGAAGAAATACTTCCTAACATCCCTTTGACTCATCTGAGTCTTCAGCTTCCAATTGTGACCTCTTGTTTCTGTGTCCCATCTCTGGAACATCCTGTCTCTGTCCACCTTGTCTATTCCAAGCAGTATTTTGTATGTCGTTATCATGTCACCCCTGGCTCTCCTGTCCTCCAGTGTCGTCAGGCCGATTTCCCTTAACCTTTCTTCGTAGGACATTCCCCTGAGTTCCGGAACTAACCTTGTTGCAAACCTTTGTACTTTCTCTAATTTATTGACGTGCTAGTGTTTGCTCTCGTGTTTTTCTAAACCAACTTGTCGGTATTTATTATCAATGTTTATACCAAACTATTTATTTACACTAAAATGTAAACAACATAAGTAGTGGAGAAGATTTTTTTTTTTTATTCGCCGGTATTCTCCCGGCCCGGGTCTTTTCCAAAGAGTGGTGACCCGGCCTTGGCTCCCTATCTGGGGAGTATCTCGAAACCTTAGTCTCCCATGGGAGGAGGTACAAGTACCCCCTCATCTTTGGGGCCAAGTGTCCCCAGGCCTAGCCACAGTCCCCGCACTCACAGGGCTCGCAGGGAGAAGCTAGGCCTCTGGTCTGCCATCTGCCCCTCCTCAAAGGGGCTCGTGGGGATGGCAGTCTTATGAGCTGCAGATGGTAGCAAGCTCAGACCTTATTAAATTAAGTAAAGATCCTGGATTTAATCTTACGAAACAAAATGTGATAGTAATTACGAACAAGGTAGATTATAGTGGAAAAATAACCATATAAGACAGGGGTTCTTACATGCCTCGTAATTAACCTTGCCAATTGAAAAATGGTAAGATGATACCAACAAGATGTGAAAAAAGACTTGTGTACACTTCAAGTCCCTCAGCCTTGGAAGACTGAGGAACTGATTATCACATCTTCTGTATACTCCTACATTTTTCACCGTCCTTGTATTGATAAAGCCACAGGATGGAGAAATGTCTATTAGTAAAGATACCCAGATGTTGCCACGTATCTAATTCTTCAGCTTAAATCAGGAAAGCCTTCACAAACACCAAGGCACACCCCAGGAAGACTAAAAACACACGAGAGTAGATAAAATGGCAGCGTGAAGGGGTAGGGAGGGTTGGCTATATATTGTATCTGGCCCAGAGATGAGGTCCAGTTGGCCACTCACATCAAGTTGAGTGACCACGTCTAGCAGCTAACCCATATTCTAGCCACATCAATGATTTTCAAGGTGGGAAAAATATTGATTCATTTTAACAGTGGTTTGGTGATACTGAGAAGCTCTATATAAACACATCTGTGTACCTTTCAGGCAGTGTACTAAATGATTATAACCGTAATTTTTAAAGTGGAAGGGTAAGCCAGTGGAAGGCCTCGGTCAGATGACCAGAAACTGTTCTGTCTCCTCACCAATGCAACTAATTATTCTAATATTTTTAAAACTAATAATTTATTAGCTAAAACTGCCTCTCGTTACCCTGAAAATTTAGTCATGTGCATGTTATAAGTTAGATTAACGAGTGTTTATTTTCAAAACAGGGAAACGTACCTATTATCATTACGACCTTACCTTACCTGGAGGTAACGTAAGATCGTAATGATAATAGGCAACAAAAAAACCTTACAAACAATTAATTACCATTGTAACTTACTCAGATAGCGGTACATGTGTGCACTGTGGCTCAGCCATGAAATGGAACTAAGAAGGGGTCATGCCATCCTCAAATACTTTTTATTGTATTTTTCAATTAATCCCTAATTTTCCCTGCTGACCAGTGACCACAAAAGCACACTAGTTTAATAAAAATTCACTTATATGCTGAAAAACACGTTTATAAAAAACAATATCTTCGATTTTTTCCAAAATTTCTGATTTCTCAGCACCTCAAAATTGAAATCCTGGTTGAGCATTGAGTCCCTAGACCCTTTTGAGTGCCTCCTGCAGGATGGATATGGGTGCATACCTGGAAAGGTTTTCGGGGGTCAACGCCCCCGCGGCCCGGTCTGAGACCAGGCCTCATGCATAATACAGCTATTAACTTATTAGTTATTTTCAACTAACTTTTTTGGGTTATCCTTAAGTTAGTTAGTTAGTTAGTTAAAGATTAGCCGGTATTCTCCCGGCCCGGGCCTTGTCCAAGTGGTGGCCCGGCCTTGGCTCCCTCTTTAGGGAGTGTCTGAGACCTAAGTCTCCCATGGGAGGAGGCACAAGTACCTCCTCATCTTTGGGACCAACTGTCCCCAGGCCTAGCCACAAGCTAGGCCTCTCTGGTCTGCCATCCCCGCCCCAAGGGGGCTAATGGGAATGACAGTCTTGTGAGCTATAAGCTCGGACTCAGGCACCTACCCTACCCTAGAAGGGTTAGGCATGGTGTCGATCTTATCCTTAAGTAATTAACATAGCATGTTATTAGTGAATTAACACAGTAAACAAGTGACATGGTAATATATACAGCAACAACTATAAAAATGTGAGGAATCACGAAGGCGTTTGGAGATTCACTATTTTTTTTCACAGTACAAACACAAATGTTTATTAAAAACTTGCATTTGTGGTCACAGTGGTGGCCTATGCTAACCTTCCTATGGTGTAGAAATATACCTAGTTGGATGAATCTTATTGTGGCTAGCTGGTCCAGTGGCTAACGCGACGGTCTGGAGTTTTGAGACTCTCTGACCGCGAGTTCTATCCCACCCGTGGTATAAATAACAAAAAGGCACAATACCGTGACTGGAACGAAACACAAATAACCCGCACATAAAAGAGAGAAGCTTACGACGACGTTTCGGTCCGACTTGGACCATTGACAAAGTCACACTGTGACTTTGTCAATGGTCCAAGTCGGACCGAAACGTCGTCGTAAGCTTCTCTCTTTTATGTGCGGGTTATTTGTGTATCACCCGTGGTATGGTTTGTTTACAATCGTGTCATTGAGATTTCGTGAGTCATGGAGACAAATGTGTATTCCTTTGCATAGCAAACAATGTGAGATTTAGGCCTCATAAGATATTAATAAGAGAGTCACTAGCATGCCTGAGCATTTCTGGCAGTGGCCCTTTTGCAAATGTTATTAGGTACGATAATTGTACTTTAGTGTACCTATACTTGTACCTTAGAAGCTAAAACGTTGTATGGTTTTAAAAATAGGTTAGATAAATACATGAGTGGGTGTGGGCGGATGCGAGTTGGACCTGACTAGCTTGTGTTACTAGGTCAGATGCTGTTCTCTTTCCTTAAGTGAATGTGACCTGACCTGACTAGGTTGGGTCATTGGCTTGGGCCGGTGGAGGACTTGGACCTGCCTCCCATGGGCCAGTAGACCTGCTGCAGTGTTCCTTCTTTCTTATGTTATGTATATAAACTTACTTATTACACAGCCTAATATATTAGTAGGGGATTAATGTGTTCTGTAACGTAATAATGACTCACATATATTGTTGCAGGTGTTGGGGGTGTTGGCGGTGCTGGCTGCGGTGGTCAACGCTGAGCCTCGCTACGCCAGACCTGGAGGTAAGTAACCATGTTATAAACCTTGGTAATAAATACCGACAAGTTGGTTAAGAAAGACACGTAAGCAAACACTATGACATATTTATTAGAAAACGTTTCGGTCCTGGGACCTTGATCACTTCTAGATGTCATAGTGTTTGCTTACGTGTCTTTCTAAACCAAGTAACCATACCTGGAGTATACCTGGAGAGAGTTCCGGGAGTCAACGCCCCCGCGACCCGGTCTCTGACTAGGCCTCATGGTGGATCAGGGCCTGATCAACCAGGCTGTTGTAATAAAGTTGGTAGAATTACCGACAATATGTAAAGTAAAAGGACACAAGTGCAACTAATGTGACATTTATTGTGGCAACGTTTCGCTCTCCAGGTAATGGCTTGATAAAGCTCCTGAAGAGCGAAACGTTGCCACAATCAGGCTGTTACTGTTGGCCGCATGCAACCCGACGTACGAACCACAGCCCGCCTGATCTGGTACTGACTTTAGGTGCCTGTCCAGTGCCTGCTTGAAGACAACCAGGGATCTATTGGTAATCCCCCTTATGCTGAAACATCCAAGAATAGTGACCCAGATGAGTCAAAGGGATGTGAGGAAGTATTTATTCAGTTACAGAGTAGTCAGGATGTGGAATAGCCTAGCAAGTGAGGTAGTAGAGGCAGAAACTATACATAGCTTTAAGATGAGGTATGATAAAGCTCATGGAGCAGGGAGAGAGAGGACCTAGTAGCACCCAGTGAAGAGGTGGGGCCAGGAGCTGAGTATCGACCCCTGCAACCACAATTAGGTGAGTACCCCTGGGTTCGGTTCAAGGAAAAGTCAACTTCATTGTCTCAAGACCTTCACCGGTATCAAGACCCCTTCACCGGTATCAAGACCCCTTCATAGGTATCAATACCCCTTCACCGGTATCAAGACCCCTTCATCGGTATCAAGACCCCTTCACCGGTATCAAGACCCCTTCATCGGTATCAAGACCCCTTCACAGGTATCAAGACCTCTTCGCCGGTATCAAGACCCCTTCACAGGTATCAAGACCCCTTCATCGGTATCAAGACCCCTTCACAGGTATCAAGACCCCTTCACCGGTATCAAGACACCTTCACCGGTATCAAGACCCCTTCATCGGTATCAAGACCCCTTCACAGGTATCAAGACCCCTTCACCGGTATCAAGACCCCTTCACCGGTATCAAGACCCCTTCATCGGTATCAAGACCCCTTCACAGGTATCAAGACCCCTTCACCGGTATCAAGACACCTTCACCGGTATCAAGACACCTTCACCGGTATCAAGACCCCTTCACAGGTATCAAGACTCCTTCACCGGTATCAAGACCCCTTCACCGGTATCAAGACCCCTTCATCGGTATCAAGACCCCTTCACAGGTATCAAGACTCCTTCACCGGTATCAAGACCCCTTCATCTGTATCAAGACCCCCTCACAGGTATCAAGACCTCTTCACCGGTATCAAGACCCCTTCACCGGTATCAAGACCCCTTCATCGGTATCAAGACCCCATTCACCGGTATCAAGACCCCTTCACCGGTATCAAGACCCCTTCACCGGTATCAAGACCCCATTCACCGGTATCAAGACCCCATTCACCGGTATCAAGACCCCTTCACCGGTATCAAGTCATAAACATCCCTTGAAGGGAGCTGTCAGTAAGAGGTCCAAACCCACATGGAGACAATACTAATAATTATTTCTACAAGTACAAGGTACACACACCATAGCTGACGTCAGTGACATACTATATAGAAAGCCCCTTGTTATGCAGAACTATCATGTGGGAGTTCGACACGTGGATTAGGTAAAGAAATACTCACGTAGGCTGGTAGTACGTATAATTACAGATAATGTGGAGTGCGCCCTTACAGCCGTACCTATCTCTCTGCTCTCTTAACACTGACTGACTGGCCGCCCACAGTACCCATATGTGAGGGGGTCTTTGAATAATGCCAGGTCAGCGCAATATGAGTTCAGATAGTGACTCAGGCAGAGACGGTTGGTCGTTGAGTCAACGGTACACTGGTTACTGGTAACTGGTTACTACTACTGAGAGAACATTTACTGCAAATTAGGTCAATTTTGTCCCCAGGATGCGACCCACAACAGTCGACTAACACCCAGGTACCTCTTTTACTGCTAGGTGAACAGGGACAGCAGGTGTCTTAAGGAAACACGTCCTGTTTCCACCCGTACCGGGAATCGAACCACGGACTTCAGTGTGTGAGCTAAGTGCGCTACCAACGGAGCTACGGGTTGTACTATGAACACAATGGGTAGTCGAAGTACCTGCAGCACCTGGTCGTAACTGAGTCAACAGCACTCAGCAGGGTAGAACAAGGCAATTACAACTACAACTAACCCATCTCTTTGGGTAGGACCTACTTCCACTGGGGAATCTCACCTACCAATGACTATGCCCTCGTCTACTACCCGTCCCATTTCCACCTGACGTTACTATATAAGCGCCAGGCGCCTTGCTTCTGCTTCAGAATCTCAACAACTACGGTGCTCTTCGCACCTACTGCTAGGTTGAGGGACTGATTACCTCCTCTTCTGTACATAGTTCTCCTGTCTTCAAGTTATGCCCTGGAATTTGTATTGATAAAGCCACTGGATGGCGAAACGTCTACAATAAAGATACCCAGATGTTGCACAAGTGTCTCAATTTCATCAAGAATAAGTAAGATTATTCAGGTATACACAAATATACTTACATAGATTATCATACACAGCAGCATGTGTAGACAACCTGGAATAACCCCCCCCCCCCAAAAAAAAAAAAGTCAGGAACTTATTTCCATTGAGGTCTCTTTAATACTTTATTATTATACCATAACAGAGATAATATCTTATTATAATGTAAATGATATATCTTATTATCATACTATAAAGGAGATATACTAGGAATAGGGTAAAATTAATTAGGCTTGTAACTGCTACAGTCCTGCTACACATTTTGTCTGACTTTTTTGGGTTATCCCAGGTTGTCTACACATATGCTGCTATGTATGATAATCTATGTAACTGTATTTGTGTATACCTGAATAAACTTACTGGTAATGTTAATATTACAGCAAGGTAGGGTAGTGTATACAGCATTAATCGCCATTCCTTGTATATTCATCACATATATTTCTATATTTTAACCACGGGGATGAGGATGCAATTAGTTTTGATGCACCCACACCACCGAATGTCCTTGGATCACTGTACAACACCTAGCTCTGCCGGGTGCGTGATTCTTGTAGGATTGTATGGTCCCGTGGGTTAGAGCGTCATGGAATTTTCGCTCACTATAAGGCAAGCTAAAACAACATGGGTTCGAATCCTGAGCTAGTCGCAGTGTTGTTAATAATTTATTTTAATATAATGCCTACATTCTCAATAATTTATCTTTATACAAAAAATATATATCCTCTCCGCTCCTCCTTAGGTGCCTTCCATTCTTTAATGAATCAAATGCACTATTCCAGAATTATAAACCCACATTTTCGGCATCTAAATCCCATCCATCCATTACTTCACACACTTTCAATCCGTCCACTGCCCCACCAACCTTCTCCATAGTTACGATTTTTTTCATACTAACAAATCCTATTCTTCCCTCCTTCATTCCTGAAAATCCCCATCTTATCATCCGAGTTTGTTGGTTTAAAACCTTCACGTCCTTACCTAGAGGTTCACATATTTTTACTCTTAACTGTCAGAGTTCATTTGCAAACAGTATTATCTTCATGATAAAAACAGGAATCAAAGTTAGGTAAACATCCTGAAGACCGAAACGTTGCCACAATAAAATAACGCATTAGTTGCACATGTATCCTCGTACCTAACACTATAAAAACACTCCGAAATTTCCCATTTCAGATCATGAGCCACTTGGCGGCATCAGAGCACTTCCAGAGCGGCTAGCTCGCCGTGTATGTTACTATGAGACCTGGGCCCGCTATAGACCAGATGAAGTCCATTATGACATCGAAGACATCCCTGCTGACCTCTGTACTCACCTTATCTACTCCTTCTGTGGTGTGTCCAACGTCACTTGGGAGGTCATGGTCCTGGATCCTGAGGTGAGATGTAAATATATGTCTTGGTATAATAGATGACCCAACAAACCTATATAAATCTTGTAATATATTAAGAGATGCGGATCTTTTGTGTCGTTCTCGTGAATAAATATAATTCTATGACATAAAATAAGATAAAAAAAGGCACAATACCGGGACTGGAACGATACACAAATAACCCGCACATAGAAGAGAGGAGCTTACGACGACGTTTCGGTCCGACTTGGACCATTTACAAAGTCACACTAACCAGAAGTGGAGCAGGACGGGTACCTCTTCCTGCCTATATATAGCCGTCCTGCTCCACTTCTGGTTAGTGTGACTTTGTAAATGGTCCAAGTCGGACCGAAACGTCGTCGTAAGCTCCTCTCTTCTATGTGCGGGTTATTTGTATATAAAATAAGATCGTATGACAAACTGTGAATCCAACCAAAGATCAAATAAACGTTGATAAAAAATCACCATCCATAGAAAGATTAGTCACAAAATTAAAATATAAAATATTTATACCTTCCTATTACTAATTAATGTAAGAATCATCAACTTAGCATTTATATATATAAATAATAGGAAATATTTTCCACAATGTAGCCTAGTGGAGATTATTATTATTATTATTATTATTATTATTATTATTATTGTTATTATTATTATAAAGAAACGCTAAACCACAAGGGCTATACAGCGCTGCAGGGCAGGAAGGAAGCGAGGGTATTAGGTGACAAAAGGGAGATGGATGAGTAATAGGTTACGGAGAACAGCGGGGCAGTGGATGGTGAAAGGGTAGAGGAGATTGAGGTAGAAAGGGCTGAGGGGAGTGGGAAAAGTATCATCATCAGAGTTTGTGGAGTAAATCAGTCGTTGTCAAGAAGTCAGTGAGAGAGTCAGGATTAAAGGAGGGTCCATCAGCAAGAAGGGAAGGTAAAGAGAGAGTAGTAGAACGAAGACGACGTTGGAGGTAAATTCTTTGTGCTCGTTGATAGAGAGGGCAGTCTAACAGAATGTGGCTAATTGATACTGCCTAGCCATGCTAAGCGTTCTAGTGGTACACTCTGTAATCACAATTTTACTACATGTAAACCAAACAATAACCAAATTTCTGTAAACTCAGCATTGTAATCCTTATAGAGAATAAACTTTGAATTTGAATTTGAATTTGACACTGCTCACAGAGAGGAACAGGGTGCCTCTCCATGAGATACCCGTGAGTAAGACTGAGTGTGGCCAATGCGAAGGCGGGAGAGAGTAGTCTCCCAACCTCGACACTGATGACAAGAAGACGGCCAGTAACCTAGTGGAGAGAAAACTGAATTATCTCATATTAATTTGCTGGTTATTGTCACATTTCCCCCACTGAACCTCAAATGCTTTTCCTAGGTCAAAATTCCTCTTTAAAAAATCTATTTGAACTTCATTATAATTTCTACATTGTACATTTCAAATGAAGAATATTACCTTTGGATACAAAAACGTTGATATATGTGTGGGATCCGTCTATTATGTGACGTGTATTAGATTTGTTTTGCTGTCCCTTGAGGTATATAATGAATTATTTCAATTGACACTATCTACTTTATACCCCATGTAGAAAATTGTTGACTTGTTAATGATTAATAGTCAGCCAACAGAACGTGGGACTCTGTACTGGATAGATAATTGACTCGGAGTCTACGTCTTAATAAAACTCAAAATTTAGGACCGTGTGGTCTCTTAGAAATACAGTGGTCCCTCGCTTTTCGTAGTTCTCGGCAATCGTAAATTTCGCCAATCATAGGGGTATTTTCGTATAAACATGGACTCGCTTTTCATAGGTTGACTCGCGAATAGTAGTTCGTCCAGGACGCTTACACACCGTGTGAGCCGGGGCGGCCTCCCTACCCAGCCAGTCTGGCATTGTTTACCAGTGAGTGAAGGTCCCCTCAAGTGCTCCTACGAAATATTTCATAATATTTCACTCATTTTAGTGCTTGCAGTACTAAATAAGCTACCATGGCTCCAAAGAAAGCTCCTAGTGCCAAGCCTGTGGTAAAGAAGGTGAGAAATATGTACAGTGACAAAGTCTTGCACCATTTTAGGGAAGTGTTAAAGAGATGCCAGAAACAGAGCTCTCTCCACAGTTACTTTGTGAGACAGGACTAGAGTGACTCTCAAGGTGGTCCTAGTGGCATTAAGAAACAGAAGAGAAGCAACCCCAGAGAAGCAATTGGTACCTGAGGTGTTGCTGGAAGGGGATTCCCCTTCCAAACTATAAACAATCCAATCTCTCTCCTCCTCCAGTCTCCCATACACTAAGAAGAATCTCCAATAAAGGTAAGTGTTATGCTGTTAATGTTTCATTCATCATTTCCCATTGTACTGTTTATGTACTACATGTATATTTCATGTAAAATTTTTTTTTGTTTTAATACTTCTGAGTGTCAGAAACGGATTAATTGTATTTACATTATTTCTTATGGGGAAAATTGATTCGCAAATCGTAAATTTCGTTTATAGTAGCTCCTCCAGGAACGAATTAATTACGAAAAACGAGGGACCACTGTATAATTAATGATAACAAATATGTAAAGAGAATCTCGCGTCATCACAGCTGGACATCAATGCTGATGGGTACCGGCGCTTCGTGGCTCTGAAGGACAAGTACCCTGACCTGAAGACAATGATTGCAGTTGGTGGCTGGGCTGAGGGAGGTAAAAAGTACTCTCAGATGGTCGGCGTAGCTGAACGAAGACAATCTTTCGTCAGGAGTGTTGTTCGTAAGTACCCTATCATTATACTAATGACATACAGTATTGACCAGTTGAAGCTTTCCATGCCAGTGCTTAGATTAGGTAAAATTCGTCAAGGGGAACTGCATTAAAAAAAAAATACCACGGGTGGGAATAGAACCCGCGATCAGAGTCATAAAACTCCAGACCGACGCGCTAGCCACTCTCTAGGAGTCTAGCAATTAACTATGCTTAATTTTAACAAACATGAAGTATACAAAGCAGTTACTACTTAGTACTCTACAGTACTATACGTCAAATTAAATACTGTGGAGTGACAATATGAACAATATTCCAATAGAGTTGCTGACAGACTACGGCTTCGATGGATTCGATCTGGATTGGGAGTACCCCGGAGCGACTGACCGTGGTGGTACTTATGCTGACAAGGATAATTACTTAAAATTGGTAAGTGTGTTTATAATTCTTAAAATACGTAAAAAATATCACTGGTTTCCATAATTAACAATCTCGATATAACGTTATTTTTTTAATCTAGGTTCAAGAACTGAGAGCAGCATTCGACCAAGTAGGTGCTGGATGGGACCTGACAGCGGCCGTACCTGTGGCCAGGTTCAGACTGCAGGATGGATACCATGTTCCAGAGCTGTGCAGGTCAGTCGACACAAGCAAACACCTTTCTCACAATATTCACAGTATCTCTAATGATTATCACTAATGTGCTTAGCGATAATAGTTGTTTCTGGAATGTGACTGATATAATATACGATGGTAAAGTTTTGGTAATGTTACAGCTTGCTGGACGCCATTCACATGATGACCTATGACCTGAGGGGGAACTGGTGTGGCTTCGCTGACGTGCATTCCATGCTGTACAAGCGACCCAAGTACGACGAAGGTGGTTACGAGAAGCTCAACGGTGTAAGTCCACTCTTACTACTTATTACACTTATTACGTTAATAAGAACATAAGATGCTAGCTTCGAACACTCTACTTGGCAGGGAGTTCCACCCGTTTGCTAAACCAGTGTTTTCCTATATCGTTTTATATTTAATTTTATCAATTGATTTATTGGTCAGCATCCTATTTACATCTTGATTAATACGTGTTTTCCGCTTGTTTAATCATATCTCGCCTCAGTCTACGTCTTTCAAGAGTACATATTCTGTTTTCCTTAATGTGTATGAAGCTTACGTGAGACATTAGTTATTGTTCTTAATTTATTCTGCAGGGGCATAAAACCTGACACGGATATTCATTAGATGGCCCGTCCAGTGGTGCCACACATCTTTTTTGACTTTGATATATACCAAACTAGCATGGTTGAGAGAGTAGGGGAGCTGGTGTAAGTAAGTGTATTCAGGTATACACAAATACAGTTACATAGAATTATCATACATAGCAGCATATGTGTAGAGAACCTGGGATAACCCAAAAAAGTCAGACAGAGTGACTTATTTCCATTGGTGGGAGGGATGCAGTTTTATTACCTTTTAATCTTTTGACTGAGTTAAAAAAAATAATAGCATTTATGCGATACATAAGAGCATATTATTCTGTTATTCTGGTCTATTGCACAAAGGATCAGCGGTCTTTAATCTATCAAAGATAGGCATATGTTTTATTATTTGTGTCTTAAAATTCACGTGTCCTCTGAACAAACCATACCACGGGTGGGGTTCGAACCCCACCCGTGGTAGTTTGTTTACAATCGTGTCATACGATTTCGTGAGTCATGTGTCCTCTAGTTATGAATGACGCTACGAAAACAATACAGAGAAGCTTCTTTCGTGCCATGTATGTGTAGAGCTTTATCAAGTCATGATAAAGCTCTATCCTATGGGAATTGTCCTAATAAAAGATTGTTCTGTACAGTGTTCAGACCCCCATGAATAATTCTTGTACTGTTTTCCTGGTACTATGTAGAACGACGCTGTCTTACTGTGGGAGGAATTTGGGTGTCCCGTTGACAAGCTGGTACTGGGTACTCCCTTCTACGGTCGCACTTACACCCTTGGCAGCCCTGAAAACAATGACATCCACGCTTCCATTAAACAGTGGGTGGGTGGTGGAAACCCTGGTCCCTATACCAACGCCACGGGCACCTTGGCATATTTCGAGGTAATGTAATCACACTGGGCCAGTTATTATATTCAAAGGTAAATTCTACTCACTTGATCCGGTCAAAAGAGAAAAAAATGCACTCAGACCACGATGGAAGTCTTTATATTTGAGATATAATAAATAATAAACAGTACGAAGGGGTAACTATAAAAATGAGATATAGTAAATAATAACCAGTACGAAGGGGTAACTATACAAATGTCACTAAGGAAGACTTCTCATTTAGATCTGCAAGATGATGTTGGATGACACAGCTTGGGAAGACCGCTACGATGATGTTGGACTCGTTCCCTACACAACCAAGGGTAACAGTATTGGCTAGCATGACTGGGTTCGGATGAGAGTAGACGTATGTAGTGTCATCTGCAAATAGTGTGGGTTTGAGTAGTTGCGATGCATTTGGTAGGTCATTTATGCATATGAGAAAGAGAAGAGGGAAGTGTCCTAGGCCCTGGTAAGACCGGTAATACACTGTCAGTGTGCTGGTAAGACTGGTAATACACTGTCAGTGTGCTGGTAAGACTGGTAATACACTGTCAGTGTGCTGGTAAGACTGGTAATACACTGTCAGTGTGCTGGTAAGACTGGTAATACACTGTCAGTGTGCTGGTAACATCTTAATATTAACTGTTAGATAAATTACGGTAATTAGCTTCAGTATAAAGCAGTTATACCATGACAAAATTTCAAAACATCCTCCAGAAAGGAGAAAAATGGTTGGCAAAAGCTTCTGAAACTCGCTCAAGCTGAAGCCTCAGCTTGAGCTAAGACCAATTTAGCACTGTCAGGAAGCCCTGGTGGTGATAAAAGATATAAAATACCAACACGATGGGATTTAATAAAGCTGGTAGACTAGTAATTGTAAAAATGATTATGTGGTAATCAATGTGTACTGCGGACAGATGACCAGTGGGTAGGATACGAGGACCCAGACAGCCTCAAGATTAAGATGGACTTCATCAAGGAGACGAAAATGCTTGGTGCCATGACCTGGGCCATAGACCAGGATGACTACCTGGGATGGTGCAACTTAGGCAAAAATCCCATGATGAAGTAAGTTTTTAATGTGTAACTTAAACTTAATCCTAAATATATAAAAATGGAATTCATCGTTCAAGGGCCTCATTATTTTACGTTATGAGTGGTTCGTCTCACGTGATACCTTTAGAAATAATATAAGTGTATTCTCCACAAATTCTGAGATCACTGTTTGTGAAAATTGAACTTAAAGACACTTTCCTTGTATTGCAGCGTGATTTATGAAGGTATGAAGGATTATATTGTTCCTGTGGCGCCCACTACCACCACTACGGTGAGTCATTATTATTAGTAGTAGCAGTAGTAGTTATAGTAAACGACTATTTATACTATGAATCTTTGTCAAACCCTTTTACAAAAATTGTGCCAACCCATATGCTTCCATTTTACCAAAACAATGTGCTGATTTTGTCCAATTTCGATTCCTCGAAGCACTCCATTTTCCCCATTATGTTTTTCTCCCATTTGTAAACCTCAGTCATATCCTCCCTCGTTCTGTATCTCTCAAGAATAATTTAAGGGTTTTTAACCTATATTGGAAAAATCCTCAAACAGGAAATAAATCTGTCATCTTTGTGTGTCTCAGACATCACATAATCTGTGATGTCTCATCAGTGATACATCCTCTTATAGGAACAAGATTTTTGGTGTATATTTAATTCTGTTAATGCTATTGGGGTCTTCAGATTTCTTTTTGCCAAAATTTATATAGTAATTTATGGTCAAAGTGGAACTTGTCATAATCACAGACCTAAAAGTTTGTCTTAAAACTGATGGTGCAGAGATTAGCGTGTTTGTATTGTATCAATGTTCATTTTAAAATTAATATTAGCAAAATTGGATATAAGGTGGAAAAATGTACACTAGCCCACATAGTGGCTTTTATCAAGTCCCAAACATCTGTTTGTAACTTGATAAAGCCCACTGTGTGGTCGAAACGTAGTCGATACCTGGAGTATACCTGGAGAGGGCTCCAGGGGTCAACGCCCCGGCAGCCCGGTCTGTGACCAGGCCTCGTGGTGTATCAGGATTGCATTATACTGTATTTGTGTCTACTTTTCCAACATGTCCATATGTTATACTATTTATCTCCGGGTATACTCCAGGATGTAAGGTGTTGCGCTGCCATCCTGGTAAATAACACGAGGAAGAGTTGTGCGTCCAGTACACTATCTCTTCATAATAATACATTCTTAATTAAGTAAATAAGAGGAATATTCTTCCACAGAGAAATCCATGGGAACCCACAACCCCTCACTCCACAACTAGGGACCCTAACGCTCCCACAACCACCACTACCACTAGGGACCCCAACGCGCCTACCACCACATTGGGACCCATAGACTGTAGTGTCCAGGACTACTGGCCTCACCCTGACTGTGATAAAGTGAGTACTACATTACTACTGTAATTTTAGTTACCAGAACTCTGCAGCCCAGTCTCTAGACCTATGATGTGCCTCCGTAATCTTTGACTACAGCCCACAGGATGGGTATGGGGTGCATAATATATATATTCAATTATACTACCTCACTGGCACAATGTCGACTCTCCCACCACCTCTTATTAAACATTAAAATGGTATAAAATACCGACAGATTGTCAGGTAAGACACATATGCAACAGTTAGGTATCTTTATTTTGAAACGTTTCGCCTACACACTAGGCTTCTTCAGTCGAGTACAGAAAAGTTGATAGAAGCAGAAGAGACTTGAAGATGATGTAATCAGTCCATCACCCTTAAAGTTTTGAGGTGGTCAGTCCCTCAGTCTGGAGAATAGCATTGTTCGAAGTCTCTTCTGCTTCTATCAACTTTTCTGTACTCGACTGAAGAAGCCTACTGTGTAGGCGAAACGTTTCGAAATAAAGATACCTAACTGTTGCATATGTGTCTTACCTAACAACCTCTTATTAACTTAATTTTTTATTACCCACGAATGATATCCTTAACTTTTAGGTATTTTTCAATTATCTAAACATTCACCGTTACTAAAGGTAAATTTAGTTATTATTCCTTGAAAGGAAAATGAGTTGTGGATCAACACAAAACAGACCTTGAAGGATCCCAAGAATAATCAACTAAATTTAACTCTGGCTCCACACTGACGAATGTTTGTGTTGTTTTTCAGTATTACTGGTGTTTCGACGGAGTGCCACACCTGGAGGAGTGTCCTGCTGGTACCTACTGGAGTCAAGCCAATAAGATATGTGACTGGCCACAGAACGTGGACACCTCTGACTGTAACATTCCTGCACGCAAGACTCACACCAAACAGAATCATGTTCAACCCCCTCCTGCCAAGCCAGCCCCTCACCAGCATGTAAAGGCTGTTCCTCCACCTCCCCAACCAAAACACGCCAAGGCTGTTCCTGCTCCTCCCCAACCAAAACACGTCAAGGCTGTTCCTGCTCCTCCCCAACCAAAACACGTCAAGGCTGTTCCTGCTCCTCCCCAACCAAAACATGTCAATGCTATCCCCGCTGGCATAGCCGAAAAAATCTCTCCCATTGTGAAGAAGATGCTGAAGCCACATCCTTAGTTAAATAATGTTATTAACAGGTATAAAACAAACCCAGTTTAACATTAAAACCGATTTATGTTCCGAGACTTGCAAATACGACATTTCTCGACTTACAAATTAAAAAAAAAGATGACAATCTGCAATAAACTGATGTAATGAAAAATATAACTATATTCTTATGTATGCTAAAAACTGTATATAGTGAGTCGCTGTAATTAAATACCTCATAATACTCTTATCACGGCTTAAATAAAAACTAATACTCAATGACCAGCCTTATTTATCCTTAATAAGTCTAGTTACCAGTGACATATTATTATTATTATTATTATTATTATTATTATTATTATTTCCATTATTATTATTATTATTATTATTATTGTTATTTTTCTTTCTTTCAACACACCGGCAGTATCCCACCAAGGCGGGGTGGCCCAAAAGGAAAAACGAAAGTTTCTCCTTTTAAATTTAGTAATATATACAGGAGAAGGGGTTACTAGCCCCTCGCTACTGTCATTTTAGTCGCCTCTTACAACACGCATGACTTACGGAGGAAGAATTCTGTTCCACTTCCCCATGGAGATAAGAGGAAATAAACAAGAACAAGAACTAGAAAGAAAATAGAAGAAAACACAGAGGTGTGTGTATATATGTGCTTGTACATGTATGTGTAGTGTGACCTAAGTGTAAGTAGGCTGGAATATTGCTGACCTAGAAAATGTACAGAGAACCTTCACGGCGCGCATAACGGAGATAAAACACCTCAATTACTGGGAGCGCTTGAGGTTCCTAAACCTGCATTCCCTGGAACGCAGGAGGGAGAGATACATGATTATATACACCTGGAAAATCCTAGAGGGACTAGTACCGAACTTGCACACGAAAATCACTCACTACGAAAGTAAAAGACTTGGCAGACGATGCAACATCCCCCCAATGAAAAGCAGGGGTGTCACAAGCACGTTAAGAGACCATACAATAAGTGTCAGGGGCCCGAGACTGTTCAACTGCCTCCCAGCATACATACCTGGATAAGGGGGATTACCAACAGACCCCTGGCTGTCTTCAAGCTGGCACTGGACAGACACCTAAAGTCAGTACCTGACCGGCCGGGCTGTGGCTCGTACGTTGGTTTGCGTGCAGCCAGCAGCAACAGCCTGGTTGATCAGGCTCTGATCCACCAGGAGGTCTGGTCACAGACCGGGCCGCGGGGGCGTTGACCCCCGGAACTCTCTCCAGGTAAACTCCAGAAGTAGCAAGACGTACCTGAAATCTTGCATGTTTATGAGACAGAAAAGACACCAGCAATCCTACCATCGTGTAAAACAATTACAGGCTTCAGTTTTACACTCACTTGGCAGGACGGTAGTACCTCCCTGGGCGGTTGCTGTCTACCAACCTACTACCTAGGATTATTGTTATTATTATTAGTATTATTATTATTATTATTATTATTATAATTATTATTATTTTCATTATTATTAATTATTTTCATTATCTATCATTATTCTTGGGGAGCGCTAAACCCGTAAGGGTGTAATACAGTTCCTAAAAGGGGGGGAAGAGGGTACTGGAAGGCGCTCAGACCCGATTCAAGGAACCGGAGAACAGCTCCAGTTACTTTGATCAGGAGCTCTCTGTCTCTCCCATCGGCATCAACAGGGGTCTTTCGATGTCCGTGCTGCACGGCCCTTGTGGGTTTAGCGCTCAGGTGTGCGAGTCATGGTATAAAAACTTCCAGTGTTGGTCACCAACTCTCTCCTTCATAGCGCTGGTACTGTACTTCCCACTACCATCCCTCCTTCAGAGTGCAGGTATTGTACCTCCCACTACCATCCCTCCTTCAGAGTGCAGGTACTGTACCTCCCACTACCATCCCTCCTTCAGAGTGCAGGTATTGTACCTCCCACTACCATCCCTCCTTCAGAGTGCAGGTACTGTACCTCCCACTACCATCCCTCCTTCAGAGTGCAGGTACTGTACCTCCCACTACCACCCCTCGTTCAGAGTGCAGGTATTGTACCTCCCACTACCACCCCTCCTTAAGAGTGCAGGTATTGTACCTCCCACTACCATCCCTCCTTCAGAGTGCAGGTACTGTACCTCCCACTACCATCCCTCCTTCAGAGTGCAGGTACTGTACCTCCCACTACCACCCCTCGTTCAGAGTGCAGGTATTGTACCTCCCACTACCATCCCTCCTTAAGAGTGCAGGTATTGTACCTCCCACTACCATCCCTCCTTCAGAGTGCAGGTATTGTACCTCCCACTACCACCCCTCCTTCAGAGTGCAGGTATTGTACCTCCCACTACCACCCCTCCTTCAGAGTGCAGGTACTGTACCTCCCACTACCACCCCTCCTTCAGAGTGCAGGTATTGTACCTCCCACTACCATCCCTCCTTCAGAGTGCAGGTACTGTACCTCCCACTACCACCCCTCGTTCAGAGTGCAGGTATTGTATCTCCCACTACCACCCCTCGTTCAGAGTGCAGGTACTGTACCTCCCACTACCACCCCTCCTTCAGAGTGCAGGTACTGTACCTCCCACTACCACCCCTCCTTCAGAGTGCAGGTATTGTACCTCCCACTACCACCCCTCCTTTAGAGTGCAGGTACTGTACCTCCCACTACCACCCCTCCTTCAGAGTGCAGGTATTGTACCTCCCACTACCACCCCTCCTTCAGAGTGCAGGTACTGTACCTCCCACTACCACCCGTCCTTCAGAGTGCAGGTATTGTACCTCCCACTACCACCCCTCCTTCAGAGTGCAGGTACTGTACCTCCCACTACCACCCCTCCTTCAGAGTGCAGGTATTGTACCTCCCACTACCACCCCTCCTTTAGAGTGCAGGTACTGTACCTCCCACTACCACCCCTCCTTCAGAGTGCAGGTATTGTACCTCCCACTACCACCCCTCCTTCAGAGTGCAGGTATTGTACCTCCCACTACCACCCCTCCTTCAGAGTGCAGGTACTGTACCTCCCACTACCATCCCTCCTTCAGAGTGCAGGTATTGTACCTCCCACTACCACCCCTCCTTCAGAGTGCAGGTACTGTACCTCTCACTACCACCCCTCCTTCAGAGTGCGACCCACACCAGTCCACTAACACCCAGGATGCAACCCACACCAGTCCACTAACACCCAGGATGCCACCCACACCAGTCCACTAACACCCAGGATGCCACCCACACCAGTCCACTAACACCCAGGATGCCACCCACACCAGTCCACTAACACCCAGGTACCCATTTTACTGATGGGTGAACACAGACAACCGGTGCAAGGAAACACGTCTAATGTTTCTACCGTTCCCTACCCGGGCCGCGGGGGCGTTGACCCCCGAAACCCTCTCCAGGTAAACTCCAGGTAGAAGAATTGAGACAAATGGTTTTCAAAACCATTCACCACAAACTCCAGGTAAACTCGCCGTGTGAAGCGAGAGCATTAGCTACCAGTCCCGCAGCCTGGAGAAGTTCAGTCCCATAGACTATGGGACTGAACTTCTCCAGGCTGAGGGACTGACAACCTCAAATTCTACGACTTCAAGGGTGATGGACTGATTACATCGTCTTCACGTCTCTACTGTTCCTGCCTACTTTCTGTATTCGACTGAAGAAGCCTACTGTGTAGGCGAAACGTTTCGGAATAAAGTTGCCTAACTGTTACCTATGTGTCTTACCTACCTACCTTCTAACTAACAAACACCACTACCGTGTCCTCGTCAGCAAAGACCCTAATATTTGCCTTCCAATAAACTCTACAATGCTGCACCACCAGGGAATCCCACACTACCTCTGTGATCACTGTTTTATGGTCAGAATCGATGAAAATAAATGGTATAAAATACCGACACAAGCTACCCAAGATTCTAGACTCTATAACCCCACCTGGTAGATCATCAGATGCAGCATTCTCCACCTGACCTCAACATTCTGAACCTGACTATGGTATAAACCTTGGTAATAAATACCGACAAGTTGGTTTAGAAAAACACGCAAGCAAACACTATAACATATTTATTAGAAAACGTTTCGGTCCTGGGACCTTGATCACTTCTAACATACAGAGGTAGAAAGACATTATATATATAGGCGGAGAGTGAGATGTGACGCACGTGACCTGAGGAATGTCGTCTACCCGTCCTCATCATAGGTAGAGGTTGTTTTGATAAGGACCTGCCTCGCATGGGCCAGTAGGCCTTCTACAGTGTTCCTCCATTCTTATGTTCTTATGACATTCCTCAGGTCACGTGCGTCACATCTCACTCTCCGCCTATATATATAATGTCTTTCTACCTCTGTATGTTAGAAGTGATCAAGGTCCCAGGACCGAAACGTTTTCTAATAAATATGTTGTAGTGTTTGCTTACGTGTCTTTCTAAACGAACCTGACTATAAATACTCCCGTACCTTCCACCCCAGGTCGTACAAAACCAGGCGATAAGAACTATGCTTGATGCCCCCATCTGGACCAACACAGTATGTCTCAGATCTGAGGCCCGGCTTCCTTCCTTGGCTGACAGAGTAAGATACATAAACGCCTGCAAAGTGGCCACGATTCTGCACCGGCAGCAAGGTACCCCACTAAGGAGACGGATATTAACAACCATGTCACAAGATCCCACACTCTTCACGGACTACTCCTGGATTCGTTCGTTTTGTGCTGCTGGGCGGAAGCTGCTGCCTGTACAGCTGCTCTGTGAGAAGAGTTGTGACCTTCCTGTTGCTGGGTACCATCCACCACCTCCCTGGCGCCCAGATCCAGCCGATGTTTTCATCATGCAGCTACCCATCTCTAAGTGTCTCTGCAGTCAAGACACCCTCAGCAATCATGCTGAGACAAGCATGGCACTGGCAGAGGGAGGCACATGTGCAGTGTATTTCACAGATGGTTCTGTCGACCCTAACAGGAAGAGAGCAGCAGCTGGACTGTACCACAATGGTCACACACAAGGCTGGCGACTCCCTGACCACTGCACGATCCTTCAAGCTGAGCTGGTGGCGATTCAGCAGGCATTGTCACATGCCCTACGACATCGACTCCGACCTGTCATACATGTTGATTCCACCTCTGCAATCAATGCCCTCTCTCATCCTCAACCACAGGATAATGTTCACCTCATCACATCGATCCTGAGCATAATGACAGCCTTAGAAGTTCAGGGTAATAGATCGACATTGAACTGGATCCCCAGCCATGCTGGCATCCGGGTAAATGAGGCGGCAGATGATGCAGCCAAGGCAGCAACAGACTATCCACATGTTGGAATTATTGTCCCAATCAGCCTACGACAGACCAAACTGGTGGCTGCCAGAGCCACGAAACTTATGGGGGAGGTCTTAGGTGATACCCCATCTCAACAGTGGTACCGAGCAGCGACTCAGGGAGAACCCCCTCCATATGATAGAAGCTGGTCCAGAGCGCAGTGTACCGCCATCCATCGCCTTCGTTTGGGCTTTCCCACAGCCAAGATGATGGTAGACAAGGCTGAGGAGATGTGCCAGTACTGTCAGCACGTTGTCCAGCGGCCCCTAACACACTATCTTCTAGAGTGCGAAGCTACTGAGACACTCCGCAGGCAACTAGGGGTGATATTCCCTCCCGAAGAGGACCCAGAGATGACTGCGGCCACACTAGTGTACCATGGGGTCAACGAACCAGACAAGCTGTTACCTGTGATAATGACATATCCTCCTCCTCGCTAGTGTCCATAGTTACATATGGTGTCGCTTATGAGATGCACCAGTTGAACTGACATGCGGCATGCGTCGCATCATTGTGGAAACCTTTCTCCATCGGGAGCCAGAGACGGGTCATCGCAAGATTGGGACCCGTGCCAGGACTATGGTCTTGGCGAACATTATACATACATACACCCCAGGTAGATCTGTGTGTGACTTGAAAAAGCCCACTGTGTGGGTGAAACGTTGTCAATAAAGGATCACATTATACTGCATATGTGTTTATATTTCCACTAGGTACGTAGTGATGAATGGTTTGAAAAACCGACAAGTTGAAGATTGAGACACTTATGCAGCATATGGGAATCTTTATTCAGGAAACGTTTCGCCACACAGTGGCTTCATCAGTCCAATACAAAGAGGAAGGCGTAAGGAGAGGAGGAGTATGAGGTAATCAGTCCCTCAGCCTGGAGTCGATGTGTTCAGTCCATCAATCTTGTAGAATGTACAGCATAGGGCCGTAGACGTGGCTTATATACTGTAGTGAGGTATATATGGTAGGTTACGTACGTAACCTACCATAAAAAAAAAAATACCACGGGCGGGGATAGAACCCGCTCTCTGATCGCGGGTTCTATCCCCGTCCGTGGTATAGTTTGTTTGCAATCGTGTCATTACGATTTCGTGAGTCATGTAACCTACCATAACAGGGAAGACATACTTAGATCATGTCCTGGGCCCTTTACTAACCCTTCAAGGCTTTTCTTCTCCTTGAAGCTGCCGTAGCTGATCAACCTTTATATTTACAAATCGTACATGTACAAGGTATACAAGTACATGTACAAGGTATACAAGTACATGTACAAGGTATACAGACCATAGCTGACATCAGTGACATACTACTATACAGAAAGTCCCTTGTTATGCTGAGCATTTCCCGCAAATTAGGTGAGTTTTGTTACCAGGATGCGACCCACACCAGTCCACTAACACCCAGGTACCTATTTTACTGATGGGTGAACACAGACAACCGGTGTAATGAAACACGTCTGATGTTTCCAGTCCTTCGCCGGGAATCGAACCCGGACCCTCACCGTGTGAAGCGAGAGCTTTTGCCACCAGGCCACGGGGCACCTGACGATATCCTCAAGTGTCCTACTGAAGTCCCCCAGCTCAGACAGACTTCAAAACACTACGTACGTAACCTATCACAACAGATAAACACAATTAGCTTTTGTTCCCGCTGGATAACTAATTTATAGAATAAGTTAATAAATAAAATCCTTGAGCAACATTTGGGTATCTTTATTCTGAAAACGTTTCGCCAGCCAGTGGCTTCCTCAATCCAATACAGAGAAAGGTGGAAGATAAAAGAGAAGCCTAGGTGATCAGTCCCTCAGCCTACAGTCTCACCATGCTGCTAAAATAAAATCTTTCTCCTGTTCACTACCTAACATGTGATGCCTCAGCCTCCTGCATCTCCATCTAAGGAACTAGACTCACGAAATCGTAATGACACGATTGCAAACAAACCATACCACGGGCGGGATTGAACCTGCGGTCAGAGTCTCAAAACTCCAGCCCGTCGCGTTAGCCACTAGTGACTAACGCGACGGTCTGGAGTTTTGAGACTCTCTGACCGCGGGTTCAATCCCTCCCGCGGTATGGTTTTTTTTTTAAGGAACTAGGTTTGTCCCCACATTTCTTGGTTTACAAACACGTAAGCAAACACTGACATATTTGTTAGGAAACGTTTCGGTCCTGGGACCATGATCACTTCGTGTTTCTCACGTGTTTTTCTGAACCAACTTGTCGGTGTTTATTACCAAGGTACGTCAGCTTGCGTGTGGCCAGCAGTAACAGCCTGGTTGATCAGACCCTGATCCACCATGAGGCCTGGTCTCAGACCGGACCGCAGGGGCGTTGACCCCCGAAACCATCTCCAGGTAAACCCCCTTTCTTAAACCAAATCTGATTGCTTCCCATTCCCCAGGTGCTGTAGGAACCCTACGGGTTTAACGCTACCTCCTAATTAACATAATAATAAGCATAACTAACCAGAAGGAATCTAGAGTAAAAAACTGGTATTATTATTATTATCATTACCCGGGAAGCACTCTACCCGTAGGGGTAACACTGAGCAGAGAATGAAAGGCAATCAGGTTCGATCCAAGGAAGGAAAAGGGATGCGTCAATTTCCTTAGATCAAGAGTCCTCCACCGGCATCAAGGACCTGATAGGCTCCAGATACGCGGGTCAACCTAGCCGTCAAATACTAGAAAAATACCCACTATCTGGTTATCGGTAAAACCAGGTATACTTCAATTGCCTCAGATATAATGAAAAACAAGTGAGAGTCGATAAAATGGCAGCAGGGCGAGATATACCGACTATATATTAGAGAGGTAAGATACATGGCGTCCCAGTAGGCTGCTCACATACCCAGTGACCAGCCATATATTGTAGGCTTTACCCACAGTGTCTCGCTATCTGTTACAGTCATCAATGATTCTCAAGGTGGGAGACTGTTTTTTTGCCTAGCGAAATGATCATTAAGGCTGCTCGTGGCTCGGTTGGTACAGCACTTAGTTCACACACTGAGAGTCCGGGATCTATCCCGGCACGGGTTATATATTGGCCACGTTTCCTTATACCTGTTGTCCCTGGTCACATAGCAGTAAATAGGTACCTAGGTGTTAGTCACCTTACACCTACTGTCACTGTTCACCTAGCAGTAAGTAGGTATCTGGGTGTTAGTTACCTTACACCTGCTGTCACTGTTCACCTAGCAGTAAGTAGGTATCTGGGTGTTAGTTACCTTACACCTGCTGTCATTGTTCACCTAGTTGGAAGAAGGCATCTGGGTGCTAGTCAACTTACACCTACCGTCACTGTTCACCTAGCAATAAGTAGGTACCTGGGTGTTAGTCACCTTACACATGCTATCACTGTTCACTTAGAACTTAAGTAGGTACCTGGGTGTTAGCCACCTCACACCTGCTGTCACTGTTCTAGCAGTAAGCAGGTGAACAGTGACAGGTGAAATGATAGTTAATAAAATAATAATAATAATAATAATAATAATAATAATAATAATTATCATCATCATCTGTAGACTCAGATTTGTTATGAATTAATTCTTGTCTGGTGGTGAACAGGTTATATGTAGCCATAATCACCCTTCTTGTAGTCGATGGGCTTTAAATTCTGTTAACTATACGTAAGATTTATGGTAACATTTATGAAGGAATTCAGGGAAAACCGGTTAGCCGGACTTGAGTTTTGAAGTGGGAAGTGCAGTGTGTGCACTCTGAAGGAGGGATGGAGGTGGGAAGTACAGTGTGTGCACTCTGAAGGAGGGGTGGAGGTGGGAAGTACAGTGTGTGCACTCTGAAGGAGGGGTGGAGGTGGGAAGTACAGTGTGTGCACTCTGAAGGGGGGGTCGGAGGGTGGGAAGTACAGTGTGTGCACTCTGAAGGAGGGTCGGAGGTGGAAGTACAGTGTGTGCACTCTGAAGGAGGGGCGGAGGGGAAAGTACAGTGTGTGCACTCTGAAGGAGGGGCGGAGGTGGGAAGTACAGTGTGTGCACTCTGAAGGAGGGTCGGAGGTGGGAAGTAGTGTGTGCACTCTGGAGGGGCGGAGTGGGAAGTACAGTGTGTGCACTGAAGGAGGGTCGGAGGTGGGAAGTACAGTGTGTGCACTCTGAAGGAGGGATGGAGGTGGGAAGTACAGTGTGTGCACTCTGAAGGAGGGGTGGAGGTGGGAAGTACAGTGTGTGCACTCTGAAGGAGGGGTGGAGGTGGGAAGTACAGTGTGTGCACTCTGAAGGAGGGTCGGAGGTGGGAAGTACAGTGTGTGCACTCTGAAGGAGGGTCGGAGGTGGGAAGTACAGTGTGTGCACTCTGAAGGAGGGGTGGAGGTGGGAAGTACAGTGTATGCACTCTGAAGGAGGGGTGGAGGTGGGAAGTACAGTGTGTGCACTCTGAAGGAGGGGTGGAGGTGGGAAGTACAGTGTGTGCACTCTGAAGGAGGGGTGGAGGTGGGAAGTACAGTGTGTGCACTCTGAAGGAGGGGTGGAGGTGGGAAGTACAGTGTGTGCACTCTGAAGGAGGGTCGGAGGTGGGAAGTACAGTGTGTGCACTCTGAAGGAGGGTCGGAGGTGGGAAGTACAGTGTGTGCACTCTGAAGGAGGGGCGGAGGTGGGAAGTACAGTGTGTGCACTCTGAAGGAGGGGTGGAGGTGGGAAGTAGTGTGTGCACTCTGAAGGAGGGGTGGAGGTGGGAAGTACAGTGTGTGCACTCTGAAGGAGGGGTGGAGGTGGGAAGTACAGTGTGTGCACTCTGAAGGAGGGTCGGAGGTGGGAAGTACAGTGTGTGCACTCTGAAGGAGGGTCGGAGGTGGGAAGTACAGTGTGTGCACTCTGAAGGAGGGGCGGAGGTGGGAAGTACAGTGTGTGCACTCTGAAGGAGGGGCGGAGGTGGGAAGTACAGTGTGTGCACTCTGAAGGAGGGTCGGAGGTGGGAAGTAGCGTGTGCACTCTGGAGGGGCGGAGGTGGGAAGTACAGTGTGTGCACTGAAGGAGGGGTGGAGGTGGGAAGTACAGTGTGTGCACTCTGAAGGAGGGATGGAGGTGGGAAGTACAGTGTGTGCACTCTGAAGGAGGGATGGAGGTGGGAAGTACAGTGTGTGCACTCTGAAGGAGGGTCGGAGGTGGGAAGTACAGTGTGTGCACTCTGAAGGAGGGGCGGAGGTGGGAAGTAGTGTGTGCACTCTGAAGGAGGGGCGGAGGTGGGAAGTACAGTGTGTGCACTCTGAAGGAGGGATGGAGGTGGGAAGTACAGTGTGTGCACTCTGAAGGAGGGATGGAGGTGGGAAGTACAGTGTGTGCACTCTGGAGGGGTGGAGGTGGGAAGTACAGTGTGTGCACTCTGAAAGAGGGTCGGAGGTGGGAAGTACAGTGTGTGCACTCTGAAGGAGGGTCGGAGGTGGGAAGTACAGTGTGTGCACTCTGAAGAAGGGATGGAGGTGGGAAGTACAGTGTGTGCACTGAAGGAGGGATGTAGGTGGGAAGTACAGTGTGTGCACTCTGAAAGAGGGATGGAGGTGGGAAGTACAGTGTGTGCACACTGAAGGAGGGGCGGAGGTGGGAAGTACAGTGTGTGCACTGAAGGAGGGATGGAGGTGGGAAGTACAGTGTGTGCACTCTGGAGGGATGGAGGTGGGAAGTACAGTGTGTGCACTCTGGAGGGGTGGAGGTGGGAAGTAGTGTGTGCACTCTGAAGGAGGGTCGGAGGTGGGAAGTACAGTGTGTGCACTCTGAAGGAGGGATGGAGGTGGGAAGTACAGTGTGTGCACTCTGGAGGGGTGGAGGTGGGAAGTACAGTGTGTGCACTCTGGAGGGGTGGAGGTGGGAAGTACAGTGTGTGCACTCTGAAGGAGGGATGGAGGTGGGAAGTACAGTGTGTGCACTCTGAAGGAGGGTCGGAGGTGGGAAGTACAGTGTGTGCACTCTGAAGGAGGGATGGAGGTGGGAAGTACAGTGTGTGCACTGAAGGAGGGATGGAGGTGGGAAGTACAGTGTGTGCACTCTGAAGGAGGGTCGGAGGTGGGAAGTACAGTGTGTGCACTCTGAAGGAGGGATGGAGGTGGGAAGTACAGTGTGTGCACTCTGAAGGAGGGTCGGAGGTGGGAAGTACAGTGTGTGCACTCTGAAGGAGGGATGGAGGTGGGAAGTGCAGTGTGTGCACTCTGAAGGAGGGATGGAGGTGGGAAGTACAGTGTGTGCACTCTGAAGGATGGTCGGAGGTGGGAAGTACAGTGTGTGCACTCTGAAGGAGGGATGGAGGTGGGAAGTAGTGTGTGCACTCTGAAGGAGGGATGGAGGTGGGAAGTACAGAGTGTGTACTCTGAAGGAGGGTCGGAGGTGGGAAGTACAGTGTGCACTCTGAAGGAGGGTCGGAGGTGGGAAGTACAGTGTGTGCACTCTGAAGGAGGGATGGAGGTGGGAAGTACAGTGTGTGCACTCTGAAGGAGGGTCGGAGGTGGGAAGTACAGTGTGTGCACTCTGAAGGAGGGATGGAGGTGGGAAGTGCAGTGTGTGCACTCTGAAGGAGGGATGGAGGTGGAAAGTACAGTGTGTGCACTCTGAAGGAGGGTCGGAGGTGGGAAGTACAGTGTGTGCACTCTGAAGGAGGGATGGAGGTGGGAAGTACAGTGTGTGCACTCTGAAGGAGGGTCGGAGGTGGGAAGTACAGTGTGTGCACTCTGAAGGAGGGAGGAGGTGGGAAGTGCAGTGTGTGCACTCTGAAGGAGGGATGGAGGTGGGAAGTACAGTGTGTGCACTCTGAAGGAGGGTCGGAGGTGGGAAGTACAGTGTGTGCACTCTGAAGGAGGGATGGAGGTGGGAAGTACAGTGTGTGCACTCTGAAGGAGGGTCGGAGGTGGGAAGTACAGTGTGTGCACTCTGAAGGAGGGATGGAGGTGGGAAGTGCAGTGTTTGCACTCTGAAGGAGGGTCGGAGGTGGGAAGTACAGTGTGTGCACTCTGAAGGAGGGATGGAGGTGGGAAGTACAGTGTGTGCACTCTGAAGGAAGGATAGAGGTGGGAAGTACAGTGTGTGCACTCTGAAGGAAGGATGGAGGTGGGAAGTACAGTGTGTGCACTCTGAAGGAGGGTCGGAGGTGGGAAGTACAGTGTGTGCACTCTGAAGGAGGGGCGGAGGTGGGAAGTACAGTGTGTGCACTCTGAAGGAAGGATGGAGGTGGGAAGTACAGTGTGTGCACTTGAAGGAGGGTCGGAGGTGGGAAGTACAGTGTGTGCACTCTGAAGGAGGGGCGGAGGTGGGAAGTACAGTGTGTGCACTCTGAAGGAAGGATGGAGGTGGGAAGTACAGTGTGTGCACTCTGAAGGAGGGTCGGAGGTGGGAAGTACAGTGTGTGCACTCTGAAGGAGGGGCGGAGGTGGGAAAGTACAGTGTGTGCACTCTGAAGGAAGGATGGAGGTGGGAAGTACAGTGTGTGCACTCTGAAGGAGGGTCGGAGGTGGGAAGTACAGTGTGTGCACTCTGAAGGAGGGGCGGAGGTGGGAAGTACAGTGTGTGCACTCTGAAGGAGGGGCGGAGGTGGGAAGTACAGTGTGTGCACTCTGAAGGAGGGGTGGAGGTGGGAAGTACAGTGTGTGCACTCTGAAGGAGGGTCGGAGGTGGGAAGTACAGTGTGTGCACTCTGAAGGAGGGGCGGAGGTGGGAAGTACAGTGTGTGCACTCTGAAGGAGGGTCGGAGGTGGGAAGTACAGTGTGTGCACTCTGAAGGAAGGATGGAGGTGGGAAGTACAGTGTGTGCACTCTGAAGGAAGGATGGAGGTGGGAAGTACAGTGTGTGCACTCTGAAGGAGGGGCGGAGGTGGGAAGTACAGTGTGTGCACTCTGAAGGAAGGATGGAGGTGGGAAGTACAGTGTGTGCACTCTGAAGGAAGGATGGAGGTGGGAAGTACGGTGTGTGCACTCTGAAGGAAGGATGGAGGGTGGGAAGTACAGTGTGTGCACTCTGAAGGAAGGATGGAGGTGGGAAGTACAGTGTGTGCACTCTGAAGGAAGGATGGAGGTGGGAAGTACAGTGTGTGCACTCTGAAGGAAGGATGGAGGTGGGAAGTACAGTGTGTGCACTCTGAAGGAAGGATGGAGGTGGGAAGTACAGTGTGTGCACTCTGAAGGAAGGATGGAGGTGGGAAGTACAGTGTGTGCACTCTGAAGGAAGGATGGAGGTGGGAAGTACAGTGTGTGCACTCTGAAGGAAGGATGGAGGTGGGAAGTACAGTGTGTGCACTCTGAAGGAAGGATGGAGGTGGGAAGTACAGTGTGTGCACTCTGAAGGAAGGATGGAGGTGGGAAGTACAGTGTGTGCACTCTGAAGGAAGGATGGAGGTGGGAAGTACAGTGTGTGCACTCTGAAGGAAGGATGGAGGTGGGAAGTACAGTGTGTGCACTCTGAAGGAAGGATGGAGGTGGGAAGTACAGTGTGTGCACTCTGAAGGAAGGATGGAGGTGGGAAGTACAGTGTGTGCACTCTGAAGGAAGGATGGAGGTGGGAAGTACAGTGTGTGCACTCTGAAGGAAGGATGGAGGTGGGAAGTACAGTGTGTGCACTCTGAAGGAAGGATGGAGGTGGGAAGTACAGTGTGTGCACTCTGAAGGAAGGATGGAGAATGTTACAATTCAGAGAATCATGTGAAGCATTATATCGGTGCATTTCTCACAAGAGACTTTCTGAATAAATGACTGTAAATGCTTCCTCATTTTTTTGAGTCACCGTTCCATGATGGAAGACTCCCTGTGTTGTATGAGATATATATTTATACATACATATAAATACATACCCGGTGGCCTGGTGGCTAAAGCTCTCGCTTCACACACAGAGGGCCCGGGTTCCATTCCCGGCGGGTGGAAACATTTCGACACGTTTCCTTACACCTGTTGTCCTGTTCACCTAGCAGCAAATAGGTACCTGGGTGTTAGTCGACTGGTGTGGGTCGCATCCTGGGGGACAAGATTAAGGACCACAATGGAAATAAGTTAGACAGTCCTCGATGACGCACTGACTTTCTTGGGTTATCCTGGGTGGCTAACCCTCCGGGGTTAAAAACCCGAACGAAATCTTATCTTATCTTACCTACGAGTCTGAAATATGTATGGTTGCAGGCTGTGTTGGTCGGGGTGTTGGCAGTGTTGGCTGTGGTGACCGCTGAACCTCGCTACGCCAGACCTGGAGGTAAATTCGAAAAAAATTTCACTAATATACACTTGAAAAGTGACAGTTTGATCTAAATAATTATAAATATTTTACCCTTTATAGAGAACATGTGTGATTACCCCCCATGACCCATTCGATGTATGACCCCTTAAGGTTTTAGAGCTTTTCCGTTAATATAATAATTACGAGAGATACATTGAAAATTTGATTATTATTATTATAATAATCAAGGGGAAGCGCTAAACCCGGAGGATTATACAGCGCCTGGGGGGGGGGATGTGGAAGGCATTCAGGCTTAATTCGGGGAACTGGAGCACAGATCCAATTCCCTAAATCAAGAGCCCCTCACCAACATCAAAGAACCTTCCTTGAGGGGTGAAAATTTTATAAAATAGACAAATTGGTGGTTAAGATACATGTGCGAGTCAGGTATCAGTAATGTTGAGAATTATCGTCTACATTAGGCTTCTTGAGGATGCTGGAATGATTATATCGTCTTTTTATCTCTGCTGTTTCTTCTGTATTTGTGCAGGTAAAACGTTTCAACACCAGATACCTAACTGTTGCACATGTATCTTACTTATCAATTACCAGAGTTGGATTTCCATGGTAAACACTGAGTGCACTTTTGGTATCAGATCACGAGCCAGCTGGTGGAGCCAGAGCTGTGCCAGACAGGCTAGCTCGTCGTGTATGTTACTATGAGACCTGGGCCCGCTATAGACCAGAGGAAGTCCATTATGACATCGAAGACATCCCTGCTGACCTCTGTACTCACCTTATCTACTCCTTCTGTGGTGTGTCCAACGTCACTTGGGGGGTCATGTCGTGGATCCTGAGGTGAATGTTGTAGTGTCCTTCAATTAATATAAATATACTATTATAATTAAATAACTATATATTAAAATTATAATATATATAATTGTGATTTAAGATAATTATATTATATTATATATATATGTCTGCCGATACTTAAAACTGGTCAATTAGCAAGAATCATTTAAAATTAAGTCCTTTTCTGAAATTTTCTTTTATACGTTTAAAGATATATTTTTTTCATTAATGTTAATGTAAAATTTCTTATAATTTAGCACAAAATGAATCTTAGAAAACTTACCTAACCTTATGTATAACAAGAACAATTTATTTTAGCCTAACCCAACTAAATATATTTTAGTTTGTTACAATAATTTAATAAACAAGCACAGTGAAAATATTTTTTTCGTTAGGTTCAGAATGATTTTGCGAAATTATTGCATACACAAATTTTCACTTCTCTATTCAAGATGAACTTGCTATTTAGCCAAGATCGCAGTTTGCCTATCGGAGAATATATATTATTATTTATATCATATATTATATATATATATATATATATATATTATATATTATATATATATATATATATATATATATATATATATATATATATATTATATATATATATATATATATATATATTATATATATATATTCATTGGTCATAGCACTTATTTATTTCTACTATTCTCTTTGTCAAGACCCATTTCCCAGTAGCCGTTCTGCCATATTTCTTAATTTATATCTGTGGCGTCTAGCTAGCTCTACCGAAGGTACTTAACTCCCTTATTCTTTCATAACCCTTTATAATCTTATGTATCATTATATCAACTTTCTTCCTATCAGCCAACATGGACATTATTATTATTATTATTATAATCAAGGGGGAAGCGCTAAACCCGGAGGATTATACAGCGCCTGGGGGGGGGGGGATTGGAAGGCATTCAGGCTTAATTCGGGGAACTGAAGCACAGATCCAATTCCCTAAATCAAGAGCCCCTCACCAACATGGACATCTTTAGTGTTTTCAGTCTGTCATCCAAAGTTAACACGTGATGTAAACAGCACCTCTTCTTCCATATATTTAAGTTATTTTCTAGTTAACCAAACTTCAATGTATATTTCTCAATTTCAGTTGTCAGAAATAGTGAAAAAAATTATAAGCAACTCCTAGATCTTTGCGTATTGCTAAAATTTTGTTAGTCTATATTATTTACGTAGTTTGATTTCTGTCTTATTTCTGTCCCAAATTACTACAGTAGGCCTACAGGCCCATTTTCGGCAGGTCCAACTCACCCAAACAAACCCACTCATCGCCTTCCAATCTATAAGTAAAGTTACCCACAGTTTTGGCCTTAGTGATGATTCCTGAGAGTTTGTTCCACTCATCTATACTATTATAATGGGCGAGCGCTAACCCCGTATGATTATACAGCGTATGTGGGGGAAGGGAGATGGAGGTATTCAGGCTTAATTCAGGGAACTGGAGCACAGATCCAATCCCACTGATCAACAGCTCTGCTGATATTCTAGTATAACGCTATATCTTTTCTAAATCTGCTCAGCTTAAATTTATTGCTGCGAATCCTGTCTTGGTTAGATACTTTTAGCACGTTATTTATATCTTTATTTATTCGTGTTTTCCATTTATACACTTCAATCATATCCCCCTAATTCTAAGTCTTTCCATATGCTGCAATTTCAATGTTTTCAATCTGATTTTTTAGGGAAATTATTATTATTATTATAATCAAGGGGGAAGCGCTAAACCCGTAGGATTATACAGCGCCCAGGGGGGGATGTGGAAGGCATTCAGGCTTAATTCGGGGAACTGGAGCACAGATTCAATTCCCTAAATCAAGAGCCCCTCACCAACATCAAGGAACCTTCCATGAGGGGTTTTTAGGGAAAGTGTCTGATATATGGGATAACTTTTATCATTATTTCATGTGGGTCGCTTCCTGGGGACAAAATTAACCTAATTTGTCCGACAAGAGGCTTTATATATAGTATGTCACTGATGTCAGCTATGGTCTGTATAAGTTGTATCGTGTACTTATAGAAATAAAGATTATTATTAAGTTAATCCGTTCACACCACTGCAGCGCTCCGCTACACTTCTCGCTCCTCGTATCTTTCCCTGATAAGGTCACCCTGCCTTGGTGGGATATGGCTGCTTTGTTAAAAAACAAATATATATAGGCCTGGTCTCAGACCGGGCCGCGGGGGCGTTGACCCCCGAAACCCTCTCCAGGTAAACTCCAGGTAAACTGGCGTTGGTATTATCGTGGGAGATGCAGGAAGATGGTGTGTCTAAGCACTTGTGAAACTAGGGTGGTCTATGGTCCTACAATAGTGGGTCACAGCAGTAGTGTTCCAACTCACCTCTTCTGGATTCAGTGGTTTGCGTGGACCACTGGTAACTAATGAGAAAATCTTGCATTGTCACAGCTGGACATCAATGCCAATGGGTACCGGCGCTTCGTGGCACTGAAGGAAAAGTATCCTGACCTGAAGACAATGATTGCAGTTGGTGGCTGGGCTGAGGGAGGTAAAAAGTACTCTCAGATGGTCGGCGTTGACGAGCGAAGACAAACTTTCGTCAGGAGTGTTGTTCGTAAGTACTGTGCATTAATGTAACTATACCAACGATATGCGATACCGACATGATGAATTAGAAACATCTATCCAGTGGCTTTATCAATACAAGTAGATACCCATATATTGAACATGCGTATAATTCATCATCCTTAAAAAAAAACTATAAATGCCCCGTAGGAGCCTAGTAATTATCAATGCTCAATTTTCAGTAAAAATAATCATTACGTTATGTATCATTTAAAATCAAAAGCATGAACTAAAACAAGCAATATTTCCGTAGAGTTGCTGACAGACTATGGCTTTGATGGATTCGACTTGGATTGGGAGTACCCCGGAGCGATGGACCGTGGTGGTACTATGGCTGACAAAGACAATTATCTGAAATTAGTAAGTGTGTTTACAGTTACCACACACTGTATCCTTCATGACATAAATACATAGAAATCAAACAATACCACGGGTGGGAATAGAACTCGTGATCAGTCAAAAAACTCCAGACCGACGCGATAGTCACTGGTTTTATGACTAGGATGGCGGGTTCTATCCCCACCCGTGGTATGGTTTATTTGCAATCGTGTCATTACGATTTCGTGAGACACCGAAATCCTTTTTCTATCTAGGTTCAAGAACTGAGAGCAGCATTCGACTCAGTGGGAGCTGGGTGGGACCTGACAGCGGCCGTACCTATTGCCAAGTTCAGACTGGATGAGGGTTATCATGTACCAGAGCTGTGCAGGTCAGTAGCCCAAATCTTTACACCTTCCTCACATGACTAGTTACTTCTTTCACAAAATTGCCCGAAAACTGGAATGGAAACTAAACGTTTCGGACCTAGATATTGCTTAGTTTGTTTAAACTCTGTGGGTTGGGACTTGTTCACGCGAGTATACTTCATTTCTTCTCTTTAATCTATATAATCGATATACCTTTCAAGGGGGAGGGGAGGAATTCCTTGTTACTAACACTTTACTTATAAAGCTAAATAAACAAAAACCTGGAAGTTTTCGTACGATACCTTTTCCTTCCTTAGATTAAACCTGATTTCTTCCCAGGCACTGTAAGACTTCTATTGGTTTATCACTTCCCCATAAATATATAATACACAAATAACCCAGTTAGCCGGCCTCGAGTCCTGGATGTGGGAAGTACAATGCCTGCACTCAGGACGGGTGTTGATATGTTGCAGCTGTTGAACTATTTTTATTATTATAATCAAGGGAAAGCGCTAAACCCAGAGGATTATACAGCGCCTGAGGGGGATGTGGAAGGCATTCAGGCTTAATTCGGGGAACTGGAGCACAGATCCAATTCCCTAAATCAAGAGCCCCTCACCAACATCAAGGAACCTTCCTTGAGGGGACTGACGGAGTGAATGATGACGAAAGTGTTTCTTCTTTTTCGGGTCACCCTGCTTCGGTGGGAAACGGTCGGTGTATTAATAAAAAAAATTAACCCGCACATAGGATACAAATTCACGTGTGTGTATTACAGCTTGCTGGACGCCATCCACATGATGACATATGATCTTCGAGGGAACTGGTGTGGCTTTGCTGATGTACATTCTATGCTCTACCAACGACCTGAACTTGATGAGTGGTCGTATGAGAAGCTTAATGACGTAAGTCGTTCATATCACTTGTTTATGAGCAGCAAATTGATGTGAATTATTTTTTAGTTATACCTTATTTCTAAATAACTGAATGACCAGTCGTTATGTTTAAGATAAACACGATGATGGGAAACTATATTAATGATATTTAATTTCAATTATTATTATTATTATTATAATCAAGGGGGAAGCGCTAAACCCGGAGGATTATACAGCGCCTGGGGGGGGATGTGGAAGGTATTCAGGCTTAATTCGGGGAACTGGAGCACAGATCCAATTCCCTAAATCAAGAGCCCCTCACCATCAAGGAACCTTCCTTGAGGGGTATTTAATTTCAAGATAAATGAATGGGTGATACCAGTTATGGTAATGAGTATCAAGCTGTTGGAAATATGTATTAGTTATGCCTTATTTAAAAGCGAATAGGTGACGTCAATCGTTATGGTTGTGCATCAAGCTATTGTAAATAGTATGTTTACGTTATACCTTATTTGAGAATAAATAGATATGTGAACACAGCTTCGACATTTCTCAGTGGGAACTTCGATATGCCACTGAATGAATGATGGTGAATGTGTTTCTTTTCATGGGTCACCCTATTTTGGTAGGAGACGGCCAGTATGTTAAGACAAAAGAGAAACTCATTTCCTATTTCCAATAGTCTCCCTGATTCAGATTCCTTTATTTCCTTGCAAGTTTAGAATGTGGTTGACATATTTTAGGAAGTATACGTATTTGCATAGGTAGTTTACAGTGATTAGTAGTACAAAGAGAACCACTATCATGCCTTGGCATTACTCTGCAGAACGATGGAGTTCTTCTGTGGGAACAATTCGGCTGTTACCGAGACAAGCTAGTACTGGGTACACCGTTCTACGGCCGTACATATACCCTCGGCAGTGCAGATAATAATGGTCTTCATGCCCCGGTCAAGAAGTGGGAGGGAGGTGGCAAGCCCGGACCGTATACCAACGCTACCGGTACACTGGCATACTTTGAGGTAAAGGTTTTTCAGCCGTTTTAAGGGGGATACCTTGATATTAGTGAAAGACTGTGGTATAAACCTTGATAATAGATACTGACAAATTGACTTAGAACAAACACTAGGACATAATTGTAAGAAAACGTTTGGTCTTGGGACCTTGATTATCTTTCAGAAATAATCAGATTATCTTTCAGAAATAATCATGGTTTTCTAATATGTCTTCGTGTTTGTTAACTTGTCTTTCTAGTTAAAGGCTATTAAGAATTCTAGCTACCCTTCCCATTCCTAGTTTCAAACCTGACAACCAACCATTCCTCAGGCGCTGCATCACTAACCTTAGGACCCCAATGGAAATATGAAGGACCCCAGTGGAAATATAAAGGACCCCAATGAAAATATAAAGGACCCCAATGAAAATATAAAGGACCCCAATGGAAATAAGTCAGTGTCTGACTTTTTTGGGTTATCCCAGGTTCTTTACATATATGCTGCTATGTATGATAATTATGTAACTGTATTTGTGTATACCTGTATACCATTAGGGTCCTTTATATTACCACTGGGGTCCCTTATATTACCATTGGGGTCCTTCATATCACCACTGGGGTCCCTTATATTACCATTGGGGTCCTTTACCTATGAATCCTGTCCTTTGTTGAGTATAAACTCCTTTTCAACCGATAGTTAAGCCAGTTTTTGGGAACTAGATTCAACTTCAATATCTTATAACCGATAAAAAAAAAAATCTTCTTTGTGCCTTTAGTGCCCCGATGGCCTGGTGGCTAAAGCTCTCGCTTCACACACGGAGGGCCCAGGTTCGATTCCCGGCGGGGTGGAAACATTTCGACGTGTTTCCTTACACCTGTTGTCCTGTTCACCTAGCAGCAAATAGGTACCTGGGTGTTAGTGGACTGATGTGGGTGGCATCCTGGGTGTTAGTGGACTGGTGTGGGTGGTATGCTGGGTGTTAGTGGACTGGTGTGGGTGGCATCCTGGGTGTTAGTGAACTGGTGTGGGTGGCATCCTGGGCATTAGTGGACTGGTGTGGGTGGCCTCCTGGGTGTTAGTGGACTGGTGTGGGTGGCATCCTGGGTGTTAGTGGACTGGTGTGGGTGGCATCCTGGGTGTTAGTGGACTGGTGTGGGTGGCATCCTGGGTGTTAGTGGACTGGTGTGGGTGGCATCCTGGATGCTACTAGACAGGTGTGGGTGGCATCCTGGGGTCAAGATTGAGAACCACAATGGAAATAAGACAAGACAGTCCTCGATGACTCACTTTCTTGGGTCATCCTGAGTGGCTAACCCTCCAAGGTTAAAAATCCTCAGATAATCTGATCTTACGCCCAGATCTGCAAAATGATGGTGGATGATCCAGCTTGGGAAGACCGTTACGATGATATTGGACTCGTTCCCTACACAACCAAGGGTAATATAACCTTTTTATATGTTAAATTGTTATAATAAATGTAATGTTGAAAGGGGTAAGCCGGTGGAAGGTCTCGGTCAGATGACCAAAAGCTCCAGCGGCGTCAGGAAACGCAAATCTTACCTAAATTAATAACCTGTCAAAGTATTTGGTTTAAAATATAAATTATTCACATTCCCTGACAATAACATAACCCAAAAAGTATTTAACCTGTGGTATTTTATTGAGTCTCGTTCGGGAGTCTAATAAATTATATCTAAATTATACGTAATTATACCCAAGAATTAAGTCACCGTTAACTTTCACAATGAAAATAATGGTACATTACCTGTAATGACATTTAATTGACAGTGGGAGGCGTAATTATATATTTAATGATACGTGTGGCGGGCAATGTAGATTCTCCAGCAAGGGCTCAAGTTTTTCATTCATACCATCCTTATTTTGATAGTTTCACTTTATATCTGCAGCCTCCCAGATGCCCGTTAAATTCACTTACGATATAGGACACTGTATTTAACGATACTGTTTCTATCGGCGTAGATTAAATGAGATTAATTCTCCACAAATTCCGGGTCTGATTTGTGTTACTCCGCCATTTTTTTTGCTCCGTAAGCGTTTTCTTTTTTCTCCCAGTACATCTTTTTAATTAATTTAATAACACTTCCAGGTATGTACTATATTTTCATTATTGAAATATTAATTTCCTCTAAATTACAAAATTTTCCTTACAGAATATAAGGAAATAATAGAGAATATTTGTTCTCGTGTCGCAGAACATCTTTTAAAAGTCACAATTTTAGATAAACAATATAATCCCCATTGAACATTAAAATGGTATAAAATACCGACAGTTGTTAGGTAAGACACACATGCAACAGTTAGGTATCTTTATTTCGAAACGTTTCGCCTACACAGTAGGCTTCCTCAGTCAAGTACAGAAAAGTTGATAGAAGCAGAAGAGACTTGAAGACGATGTAATCAGTCCATCACCCTTAAAGTTTTGAGGTGGTCAGTCCCTCAGTCTGGAGAAGAGCATTGTTCCAATAGTCTGAAACAATATGGAGTTGAAGTGACAGGATGGAGCCTTATATAGCGCCTAGTGAGAACGGCTGGATTTGAGAGGGACCTGACCTCCAACATCTGCGTTCTACTAGTGACCTACGTCTCACCTCCCGGCGCTATATAAGGCTCCATCCTGTCACTTCAACTCCATATTGTTTCAGACTTTGGAACAATGCTCTTCTCCAGACTGAGGGACTGACCACCTCAAAACTTTAAGGGTGATGGACTGATTACATCGTCTTCAAGTCTCTTCTGCTTCTATCAACTTTTCTGTACTCGACTGAGGATTATATTTTATATCAAGGGTGAAATAAAAACCAATGGTTATCAGCGCTATCGGGGGTGATGAGGCATTCGGCATTAATTAGAAAGGAGCAAGATCAAATTTCCTAGATAAAGCCTCACCAGCGGTCAAGGAGCCTTCTGAGGGGACTTAACCTGAGGAGGGATTGAAGGCGAAACGTTTTCGAAATAAAATCCTAATTTGCTGTGATCTTACCCTAACCCATTAATTCCTACAATTATTATTATTATATAAAAAAGGGAAGCGCTAAACCTATATTTATCAGGGGGAAGGCTAAACGGAGGATTAACAGGCTATGAGGGAGGGGGGAGACCAATTTCTGAAAGGCCCTACAATTCAGGTAATTCTGGGGGACCTGGGAGAGATCCAATTACCCTAATAAGAGCCTTTCCAACATATCAGGACCTTCCTTGAGGGGAAAGAATTGCTTATCCCACCCGGCTTAAGCTAATTTCGAAATAAATCCACATAAAACTTTCTTAGTATTTTCCATACCCCTAAATAGTTGGACAGACTTAAATAATTACTTCCTCCCAATAGCCATATTAGGCCATGCTAAACATTCCAATTTTGTACTTCGCTACAAAAAAAATATCATTAATTTAAATTATTATTATAACCAGAAGGGTAGGAAGCGCTAAACCGAGATTATACAGCCTTGGGGGGGATTGGTGGAAGGACCAGCAGCTCTAATTCGGGGAACTTGAAGGACATGCATTCCTAAATCCAGAGGCCCTACAACATCAGGAACTTCTTTGGGAGTAATAGGGAAAATAATACATAAAATTGCTATTTATTTATATCAAGTTTTAATATTAATAAGGGAATTGGTATTATTCTGAAATATCCGGAATGTACCTAACACTTAGAATAACTTCTTGGACTTTCTTTAAGAATGTGACTGACTGACTATGTTGGGGCATTGGTCTTAAACGGTAGGAGGCTTGGACTGCCCGATGGGCCATAGGCCTGACTGCACGTCCCAATTTCTATTCTTTCACAAAAATCAATCTATTGGGGATTTAGACATTTAATTTATCAAAAAAAGGGCTAAACCAGACATTAATGATTGTAATAAGCATTTATGTCACCAGATGACCAGTGGGTTGGATACGAGGACCCAGACAGTCTCAAGATTAAGATGGATTATATCAAGGACATGCATCTGCTGGGTGCCATGACCTGGGCCATAGACCAGGATGATTATTTGGGATGGTGTAACAGAGGCAAGAATCCCATGATGACGTGAGTTCATAAGTTTTAAGTCAAGGGATAACGTTATATAATTATGGGAAGGGCTAAATTATTATAATCAAAAGGAAGCGCTAAGCCACAAGGGCTATACTGCGGGGGAAGGGCTAAACCCGTAGGATTATACGGCGCATATGGGGGGGATGGAAGGTACTCAGGCTCAAATCAGATCCAATTTCCTAGATCAAGAGCCCCTCACCAGCATCAATGAACCTCCCTTGAGGGGCAGGGACATTATTATTATAATCAAAAAGAAGCGCTAAACCACAAGGGCTATACAGCGCTGCAGGGGCAGGGACAGCAAATCCTTTCTGACCTCACTTGTAAATTCAATTTTAGTTAATAAATCTGGCGTTTAAGCCAAAGTAGGCTTAATTTTAGATAGGCTTAGACTATATTTCATTACCCTGTTATTCTACCACTTCCCTGTTACCGTTGTAACACAACAGGAACAGGAAGCTAAGGGTTATAAAGTGACTGACTTTAGCGTCTAGCAACAATGTCTTCAGAGGGACTGGTTAGTTATCAGTATTTTGTTCTACCAGTTAACAAATGGCTATAAATGTGACCATATTTTTTAAAGAGGTGGAGGGGTAAGCCAGCGGAAGGCCTCGGTCAGACGACCAAAACTTTCATCTAAGACCCGCGTCAGGAGACTTCTTGTTTCCTGACAAACCTTACCTAGCCTAACCTAACCTTACCTAATCTACCTTACCTAACCTAACCTAACCTAACCTTACCTAATCTAACCTTACCTTATCTTACCTAACCTAACCAGGGTGGACATATACTGTTCTAGAGGTGAAAAACAGGTACATAGGGGCACATTTGAAAGTTAAAGACAAAGAAGTCATAGGGATGTCAGGAAGTATTTCTTCAGTTTCAAGATAGCAGTGGAATAAAGTAGGTGAAGTAATGGATGTAGATTACATACATAGGTTGAAGAATAGGTATAACAGAACCCACGAAACTAGGAGGGAGTAAACCCAGCAAATGATACAGTAAGAAACAGGTCCAGGAGCTGAGACTTGACCCCCTACAACCACACACACACTACGAACATCACACACTTGTATAAAGACAGAAGGCTGAGATACAAAGCAATGATGTAGAATTGGCAATAATACCGAGATGTCCTGTGTTGCAGAGTGATCTACGAAGGTATGAAGGACTACATCGTACCTGTGTCACCAACCACCACACCTACTACCACGGTAGGTACCCTCAGATTAATACTACCACGGTAGGTACCCTCAGATTACTACTACCACGGTAGGTACTCTCAGATTACTACCACCATGGTAGGCACCCTCAGATTACTACCACGGGAAGTACCCTCAGATTACTACTACCACGGTGAAGTACCCTCAGATTACTACAACCACGGTAAGTACCCAGATCCACCACCACCAAGTTACAACAGTACCTGGGGGGAGCACAGCTCCAACTCCCTAGAACAAGAGCCCATCATCAGCATCAAGGAACCTCCCTTGATACTCTCCTATCTCTGGCTGATTTCTAAACTGTATGAGCCCCGCCCTGCCTGATGGAATGTGTTGCCACTATGTAACTGTGTCAGTAGAAGTCATGAACCACTACAAGTGTATACCTGGAGTATACCCGGCGAAGGTTTCGGGAGGCAACGCCCCCGTGGCCCAGTCTGTGACCAGGCCTCATGGAGGATCAAGCCCTGATCAACCAGGCTGCTACTGTTGGCCTCACATAACCTGACGTAGGAACCACAGCCCGGTTGGTCAGATACTGACTCTAGGTGCCTGTCCAGTGCCTTCTTGAAGACAGCCAGGGGTCTATAATACTAAATGTAATTTGTAGCGTTCTCGACTAAGTTTATCTAATCTTAAACGGTTGTTACTGTTGCAGAGTCCTTGGTGGACACCACCAACAACCACTACCACAACCAGAGATCCCAGTGCACCTACCACAATCCCCACGACTACCACAACCAGGGACCCCAATGCCCCAACAACCACTATGGGCCCAATAGACTGTTCTGTCCAGGACTACTGGCCTCACCCTGACTGTGATAAAGTGAGTAGCTTCTCATATATGGCTGAATCTTAGCAGTTTCACATTAATTTCTTCCCACAGAAGTGACCTCGTAAATTCTCATCACGAATTATATAATTAATACTTCCTTGAGCCTTCATTAGTACAGGTCTAATAATGACTGATTTCTACTGTAACTTACTGCTAGGCTTTAATACTAATTTATTACAAGGATACCAATGGAATTAAGTCACTTTGACTTCTTAGGTTATCCTAGGTAATTTACACAGATGTTAAACTATGCAAAACAACCACAGGAGGAGTTGAATGATACTTCTGGGCCTTTCGTATTTCAGTCATCATCAGGAGCTTGCAGTGTTGCAGAAATAATGTCCCAGCAGATTCTGCTGAGACCTAATACTCATTTCTGCAACACCAGAAGCTCCTGGTGTGTTGATAGCAACATGAAAGGCCTAGAGCTATCATCCAACTCCCCCTATGGTTAAGTTTAGCGTCTTGTATGGCTTGTTTACGATTTCTGCATGTTAAACTATGATAATTGTACTTAGGTATACCTGTACCTAAATAAACTTACCTAAATGTGTTGCAGTATTACTGGTGTTTCGACGGAGTGCCACACCTGGAGGAGTGTCCTGAAGGTACCTACTGGAGCCAGGCTAATAAGATATGTGACTGGCCACAGAATGTGGACACCTCTGACTGTAACATGCCAGCAGGCAAGACTCACACTAGACAAAATCATGTTCAACCACCTGTGAAGCCAGCTGCTCACCAGCCTGTGAAGCCAGTTGCTCACCAGCCTGTGAAGCCAGTTTCTCACCAGCCTGTGAAGCCAGCTGCCCACCAGCCTGTCAAGACTGTTCCTCATCCTCCTGCCCAGCACAAAATAGTTAATGCAATTCCTGTGGCCACGGCTGAAAAAATCCCTCTAATTATAAAAAAGTTAAGGAATCAGCTTCCTTAGATCTTATAGAGTATAAAAAATATCATATCAGGAGAAACTTATAAAAATATTTACGTTATGGTCTATAAAAAACTAATTCCGATCAGGGCAAAAAATAATAATTAATCTTTTACAAGCGTGTTTAATAACCTTTCACAAGGAAAAGTTTGCATATATTTTGGAAAACAATCACAAATAAGGTATCTTAGCAGTGCAGGACAAGGTGGAAATCTTCAGCTCGGGATCTTTCACATTCTTGTGTGTCGTCAGGAGCTATGCAATGTTTGCAATGCAGTAATAGATAGGAAGGGATATTCTGAGGCGAGGCAGAAAGAATAAAGGGTAATCCATGTCACAGTAACAGTGCTGACTGGTTCTTGATCAAGAACAGGTTATACCCTCTTCCTTGGATAAGTAAGCTATTTGTACAGGTACAGTAGTACTTACCATGTACGATGTGAAGCCGAGGTGACATTTCCATCGAGCCTTGAACCATATTTCCTGCACCACCTGGGGCTGTGAAGCTACAGGTAAGCGTTCCCATGATTACAAAATAGCTTCTGAATATGTATTCTCACGGATGTCAGTTGGTATTATTCCAATCTTTTCAATTACATTTGAATATGATTCTATAATCATAGGTAGCAAAATACAACAGGGTCATAGATATTACGTTTTCAGTAAAATAACTGTTCATAGGCAAAAAGTCAGATTAAGTCTATTACTAGCATTGTTTAATCAACCTAATTAATAGAAATCATGCATATCAGACTGGTTAAAAAATTTACAATAATTATTTAAGTCACCTGAAATCTACTAAAAATACTGCGTTGAGAAGCGTTTCGGAAAAGAGGATCGGGGGGCTGCCCCAAAATTTCAGGTACACTCCATGTCGTATATGTGACTTTACCAACACCATTTACATCGATTATGAGCTCATTTATGTTCATTAATACAAATCTAACCCAAGACAGTATAAACACAGTCATGAAACAACCTATTTACATCGATTATGCTCATTCCTATTGTTACGATTATCAAAGATAAATCAAACATCATAAACATGTTATCAAGAATCTGTCAAGTGGTACTTGATATACCTTTTTCAATATAAAGTTATCATGGTACTTTTTATCAGGCAGATGCAACCATCAATGATATGAGGAGCGTTAAACTTATGGGTAAAATCCTGGGTATGGAAGCATTGTTAGTTAGTTCAGTCTCGTAAATCATGAGCTCACCATTAATCAATGCACATTATCAGACTGACTTCTCTCACATCATATGCACCATCTACGTTCATAAGCTCTCTCGGATTAAGGAACCGTTGCGTCATCTAAAATCCTCTCAGGATAACTCCAGTTCTGATCATAAGCTCCTTCACATCAAGCACCATTTACAGATCTAATCCTCTCATGTCATAACACGTTCCTAATCAAAGATCTACCTCAACATCAAGGCCCCATCCTAGATCATAAACCCTATTCAGATTATGGCTCATTCCTCAGTCATTAATACTCTCACAGGCATAACATGGCTACAGTTCCTCAAGTATCATATAGCCCTCTGTCATCAAGGCACCTAGTCTAATCATGGTCTCTCAGGCAAAGCACCAGTTTGATATTAAGCTCGCTCTAGATCAAGCACTTCCTCAGATTATAAGTCCCTGGGAATAAGGTCATAGGTTCCCTCAGATCATGAGCTCCCTCAGGCATTAAGGCACCAGTTCCTCAGATCATGAGCTCCTCTCAGGCATTAAGGCACCAGTTCCTCAGATCATGAGCTCCTCTCAGGCATTAAGGCACCAGTTCCTCAGATCATAAGCTCCTCTCAGGCATCAAGGCACCAGTTCCTCAGATCATAAGCTCCTCTCAGGCATTAAGGCACCAGTTCCTCAGATCATAAGCTCCTCTCAGACATCAAGGCACCAGTTCCTCAGATCATAAGCTCCTCTCAGGCATTAAGGCACCAGTTCCTCAGATCATAAGCTCCTCTCAGGCATTAAGGCTCCAGTTCCTCAGATCATAAGCTCCTCTCAGGCATCAAGGCACCAGTTCCTCAGATCATAAGCTCCTCTCAGGCATTAAGGCTCCAGTTCCTCAGATCATAAGCTCCTCTCAGGCATTAAGACTCCAGTTCCTCAGATCATAAGCTCCTCTCAGGCATCAAGGCACCACACTTCTGATGGGATGCTCTCAGAATATGTCACACTGTTCTCCACTTTGCAGTTTTTGAAATATGGCACCTGATTTGAAAATCTGTTACACATTAACCTGCAATCTTACACTTTCTTGTAGATCATACCTTATCCTGCAGCCTCACACTAACTCGTAGCTGGGCTGGTAGCGCACTCAGCTCACACTGAGGTTCATAGTTCGATTCCCGGTATGGAGAGAAACATTAGGAATAGTTTCATCGAGACACCTGCTGACCATGTTCACCTAGCAGTAAAATAGGTACCTGGGTGCTAATGGACTTGTGTGGGTCACATCCTGGGACAAAACTGACCTAATTTGCAGGAAATGCTCTGCAGAAGAAGGGGCTTTCTGTATAATAGTATGTCACTGATGTCAGCTATGGTCTGTATACGCTGCACACGTATAAATAAAGATTATTATTACTGAAACCTATGTTAACACATAATAACAAAGCGCTAAACTTAAAAGGGTCATACAACCCAGTGAGGCAGGGGTTAGTGCAGTATTACAGTTAGCAATGGTGGAGTGGACAAAAGAGAGAGTTAGAAAAGGCTATGAGGGGTGCTAGAGGAAGTATGATCCAAGTTTGTGCAGTAAATTAGTTGCTGTCAAAAAGTCAACGAGGGAGTCAGGGTCAGGTTCGTCATCAAGGAGGGAAGGTAACACTAGTACAGTGGACCCCCGCATAACGATCACCTCCGAATGCGACCAATTATGTAAGCGTATTTATGTAAGTGCGTTTGTAAGTGTATGTTTGGGGATCTGAAATGGACTAATCTATTTCACAATATTCCTTATGGGAACAAATTCGGTCAGTACTGGCACCTGAACATACTTCTGGAGTGAAAAAATATCGTTAACCGGGGGTCCACTGTATTATTATAATCAAAAAGAAGCGCTGAGCCACAAGGGCTAAGGTAACACTAGTAACTCACCAGCTGACACTGCTCATCCCAACACATCACTCGGACTTGATCCAGTGTTCTAGTGTCTAGGGTTATTATGGAGTGATAAACTCGTAGGCATTATAAAGCACGTGGGATGAAAGGCATTCAAGGTTAATTCAGGAAGTGGCGCAGATCCAATTCCCCAGGCCCAGAGCCCTTCAGCATCAAGGAACCTCCCTTGACAGCACCTGGGGTAATGGAAGGCAATTAGATTAGAATCAAGTAATCTTCACTGTAACAGTTAACGGTTTTTATGCCCCAAAAAAACCACCTACCTCTGAGTTGCACACCACCAGTATTGACTAAGCCAAGATTATCAAAATCTCTACATACAGCAACATCACTGTGCAATCATCTTTCAGCTAATAATGGTTATGGCGATTCAGAATAAATGCAGTCATACACAAGCAGTTAATCCTTGTTCCACAGGTAGCCTCTGGTAAGTTTCCCATTATTGGAGGTCTGCCAGATGGCTACCAATGTCTCACCAGGTCACCTGTTACATCCCAAGATGCACAATCAACGAAAGCTATATTTCTACAGGGAATTCTCCCATTTTTGTCTAGAGCTGAATTTCCAAAAAGGAAGAAATTTCCCTAGACTAAATGGGGAGGGTTGCAGGGCGTTTATTATAATAAAGAAGCGCTAAACCTACAAGGGTCGTACAGCGCAGAGGGGCATTTAGATTTGACCCGACGTAGTGAAGTCAAATTCCTTGCCGCTTTGCTGCAAGACTCCTCCAAGAATCCTGGCACTAAAAGCAGGTCGTCCAGTATCCTCTTCTAAAAATTGTTTTACGAATTATAAACCAAAGTCCATTCCCTAACATCAAAGAAAAATTGGCATAACTTTCAAAAGACAGACAGACAGGACTTTTAAACCATTTATTAAAGGTGTACAATTTCAAAGTGGAAATATAAACAGTCAAAACATGACCAGTAGTTTATTATCAAAGTGTGCCTCCTTAAAGAAGCACCACAGCTTGTCACAGTCTAAAAATTAAATATAGAATTTAAATTTTTCTTTCTTGTTCTCTTTGTGACCTGTACTGCACTACCATTAAAAAATGGTAAAGGGTACAAAGTAGAAATTGCCAGCTAGATACACTGTAAACCTGGATACAAAATTCGGTGTACACCACCAGGATCCTTTCATACAGTCCATGTTTTTCCATTACGTGACCAACTTGCAATTTTAAGATGCCATGACGTGTGAAAACTGAGCTATTCTTTCTTTTTGTGATTATATTTTCCTTGTACTGCATCAGTCTCTTTCTTGACTCCGCTTTTCAACCAATTATCTTAGGCACCGACGGTCACCATATTGTACTAGTGTCCCATACATTGGCACTAACACCCAGATGCGAGTTGCACTTTCTTTCCATAATTACAAAGTGGTTACACTTTTAACTCACACACTTGCCTATGCATTTATTTTTTCTTACACAGAGAATGCTTCACTTCCACACAACTCCCCTTTTCTACACAAAGATACAATGAGAAAAGTAAAACAAGTTTCGTATATAAAGTTATGCTTCGACTGATAATGCAAATATTTCAACTTTAGAGCATTGCAATTTCATTTTACAGATACAACATGACTTTCTTTCCAATGCAAACAGGTTACAGAAGCACATGTAAAACTATATCTTATCCAGTTAGAACTTAATGCAACATTGCTCAACCACTAACTTACTGTAAAATGCACATTGTTAATCTACTTAAAAATTTTCAATGGATCCAAAAGCCTATAAACCATTCTCATGTCCTAGAGCAGATTCCATGCCCTTGTAAATCTTGTGTTCAGCAATAATTATTCTCTACAGACAACCTTACATTTCTTAAGATCCAACCAAGTTAACAAGAGAATGGTTCAAGCCTGCGGTGAGAAAAGTTCCACAGCTGACAACTTACCCAGAACAGCCCTGTGCTCACCTGAAACACCAAACTTGTTTATGTTCTGCTTCATATTGTTCATTACTTTATAATACTTGGCAGTCTTTGCTTGTCTGCGCTTAACACTTGTAAATTATTCCTAATTATCCATTATAAAATTTTACTAGGTACAGGTTGTGCGTTCAGGGGCGGGAAAGTTTCTTGCTAGCGTCTACTTTCTTTAATTATTTAATTTTCACATAATGTACAATAAGGCTGTAAAACTTTTCATCATTACATTTTTTTCAAATAAATCAACAATACGCTCATGTTCAGTGAAACCCGATTGAGTTAACATAGATTCCCAAAGTGCTACTCACTACACATTATTTTCCAAAACTTTTACAACAGAGATAAACCTTTAAAATCCTATTAGTCATTAATTTTCTGGTATGTTATACAGGTCCTCTTCTCTTTCTCAGCATCATTTAGCTGTTGCAAGTAAACCCACTTGCAATGTTTTCTAGTAGTGGCCATCAACTGGGCTCCGGCGTCCTCCATAAGATGAACTAGACAAAGAAGAGATAAAACTATGTCAACAACAATTATCGCAAGAACTTTCCTGAAAATGAAAAATTTTCATCTTATGTATATTAGTGAAGTACCATAACCAGTTTCAATAAAAAACGACTTCCCCCATTTTCAAAGCAAGTTTCCCTTGTTCTTACTAAAAAACCGTCGTACATTTGTGGAACTGCTTCAAAAACATTTCTGATAATTATTATTACAACTGCTATTTCATACCTACACTGACATTTGCTATGTTATATTCACTTTGTAACACTTGTTTTCAAGTCAAGTAGTTTTCCAGTCACAAAATACTTGCCATATTTGTTATCAATTCAAGTTGATATCTGAATGATGCCATACATCATTCTACCTGGAGTATTCCTTGCGAGAGTAAGCCCGGTCTGGGCTATAGCCACGTGAGTCACGAGAGCGTGAGGTTCGGATGACCTCCCTGGATGGGGGAGAGGAGGCAGGGTAGTAGCGAGAAGAGCTGCCATACCCACCACCAATTGGCGACCGCGACCTGTAACCACGCTATTTATGTAACCGCAATACTGAAACTCCGCTCATTTGTTCGGCGGACACTTCTCAGCTCTCCACACACTTTCTTCTTCTTATAAACAAAAATAAACATGAAATAAAACGTTTTATCAGGCAACCCAAGAAGCTAACACAAGTAGGCAAGGAGTCCATTAAGATGACTTTTAGATGGGATATACTGTTGAAGCTGGCACACAATCTTTGTGCTTGTTAACTGACTCATCCACCCACTTCATTTTCAAGAGCTTTTTCAGTAGCTGGTTGGCTAACTTGTGCATGATCAAAGGCAGTACAGTACATCTTCTTCCCCTTTTGATTAAAATTTTCAACATACTTGTCAAATGAAGCCTGTATTGAGGTGTACAATGCACAGAATACATTTCTTCTAACACTGGAACAAATACAGCAGTATCATTTTTTTTCCATACTAGCATTTTCAAAATATTTCTTCAATCTATTTTCACATAGCTTTCTGATCTTGCTATTTCCACTAAGTGAAGCCACACTTACAACTTTTACTTAAATCACTAGCTTTATAAACTGAGTCTATGCCTTACTCTGGTATGAACTTAGTATTCTTGGTTTCAAATTCCTGATATTTCAATGACTGCAGGATTCGTACATCTTTCCTTTCTACCTCCATTCCCAGTTGCAAATCTTCACTATTTCTTTCGTCATTTTCTCATTTCCTGTCAGCAATGTCCATTGATATCTGCACTCAACATTTCAACCTTTCGTTCACACATTAGTTTTATCTGTGCAAAACTAAACTATGCTTCCAGAAATATTTTCATCATATTATTCTACGCCTTTCTTGAAACTAATACGTTTTCACTATCTTAGCATCGTTTTTCCTTTAAAAGAAATATTTTTCAACTAATCGTGCTCGACCGCTTTCTCAACACATGGATTTGTTCTCAAACTTTCAACATTTCTAAGTTACCGTTTCAAAATTCTTAGGTCTTCATCTGTATCTTCTAAGCCATACAAGTTTCAACTAACTCCCCACAGAAAAATGTTGTCTATTGGAAACATCTATTTTTCAATGGGGACACATTATTTCCAGTTAACATGCTTTTTCTAGTTTTCTTAAAAAAATATATGCTATATGTATAAAAAATAGAAGAAAATAAAAAAGGCACTTGACAATCAACTTCTTTGCAAATTGATTTATCAGCTATTCACACATTATGAAACTGGTTTCTGATAAGTCATTATCTGACAATATAAAAAAAGACACAGTACTGACAACATATAATTGCTCCACATACCCTAAATTCTATACTATTGGAATAGCTTATTTACTGCTAATTGCCATTATCTTACTTTAAACTGCCATAAAAGCCAACACCAATTTCTCATATCGTCTGCCTCTCAACTTTTTTATTACTAAATATGCATTCTAACAGCCACCTTTGAAAAAATGACCTTTTCTTTAGTTGAAACAAAGTAAACTCAAAATCTTTAAATAACTCCATTCAAAGAGATATTTTCCATAGACTTTTTTGAACTTTTAAGACACCTTATAAGAACTTTTCTGGGCACCAGTTACTGATTTCCATATTCCTTACTTCCTTTCCTTGTCAACTTGTTGGGTTGCTCTTAAAAGCATGCAAACTAAATAAAGCACAAGAAACACAATATCAAACAAGAAAACTTCCAAAGAAAAACTGTCTTAAGACACGAGTGTCAAACTAAGACACACTCGACGGCACTCCAATCTTAGACATCCAATCCACAACTGCTACTTTTTTCTGAAAGGTAATTTCATCTTAAACCTGCTTTCTTTCTGGTTTCTCATTGATCTCTTTCCCTGTAATTGAGGAGTGTTTAAAACATAAGACTGGAAATATCGACGAAGAATCTGAAAGAGAAATTTTCATCATAATGAATATTTTGGCAGGAAGTTTTCTATTGCTACATTATGTGTTACGATCCAGGAACTGACATAGGATCAGTTTCCATCAAGATGATTTTATGGCTTACTTTTCACTATTTATCTGATTTTGACAATCCTAAACTGTTGAGCTACTCACGCAACCATTATCTTATTTGTTTTCATTACTATTTAAAAGTGCTTTTATCAGTTACTGGCCATGAATACTTATCGACAGATCCTGCAGTAGCCAGGGCAGATAGTACTGTCGTTTATTTATCTAATATCATTACTAGTTACTCGGTGTTTGGCCAACATCATCAAGTGACAGCTCCTGGAGTGGCGAGAGCAGGGTACCTGGTGCGCTGGTAGCCCGGAGAGGCAGAACGATATCGATCAGGTGAATGGCTGACTGGTGAACGGCTGCGCTGGTACTCCTCCCGGCGCGACCCGCTGTAGTTCACATACTTGTCATACTTGTCATCTGAATAGTGGGACTTGTACTTGTCACCAGAGGGGTAGCGAGAGTAGCCGTTCTCAGCTGGCTTGTCATACGACTTTTCATACTTGTCATAACTGTAGTTGTCGTAGTTGCTGGAGCCTCCACTGTAGCCTCCACGAGAGAACCCTCTGGAGTAGCTGCCACCACGTGAATAGCCACCTCCACGGTTATAGTTGCCACCACGTGAGAAGCCTCCACCACCTCTGGAGTAACCTCCTCCACGTGAATATCCTCCACGACTATTGTAGCCCCCACCCCTATCAGAACCCCTATAGCCCCCTCCTCTGGAGAATCCACCCCTATATCCCCCACTTCCCCTTGGATAGTAGCCCTGGCCGCCGCTGCTGTAGCTGCTCGAGTAATAGCCCCCACCCCCTCTACCACCTCTGTCATAGCCACCACCACCTCGACCAAAGCCACGGCCGCGACCACGGGCTACCCCTCCTCTTGTAACTCGGGCTGATACCCGAGACCCCATAAAATCGGCTCCATCCATCTGGTTAGCTGCATATTCAGCATCACGGGCATCGAAGTATTCCACAAAGCCCGAACCCGGTGGATCGTAGATAAGATACACCTTTGCTATCTTGCCAAAACGAGAAAAAGTTTTATCCACTTGGTCCTTTCGAATGTCTTTTGGAAGACTTTCCAAAAACACTCTGGTGTTATGGCTTTTACTGAAAAAAAAAAGAAAAACAAACATTAATAATTTTATGGGGATTATTACTTGTTTAGAAGAGACCCTATGAATGCTACTCAGGTGATGAGAAAATGAAAAAAGACAATGAAAGATGAATAGGGAAAGTGAGGAATAAGAGAAGACAAGAGGAAGAGGGGAAAGAGGAGAAAGGATAGGGAAGGAGGGGACAAAATAAAGGGTCAGGAGAAAAGGAATAAGTGGATAGGGAGAAACAGGAGTAGGGAAGTAGGGAAAAATGGGTTAGAGGGGGTAGCATAATGAGAAAGGAAGGTAGAGGAGACAAGAAAAGGACAGCAAGAAAAGCGAGGTTATAAAAGTGAAAAATATGGAAGGGAAAAGGAAGGAGACAAGAAATAGGTATTAAAGGGGGTAAGAGGGGAAAATGGAACAGGGAGAGAAGAGAAACAAGGACAGAAGAGATAAGGGAAGAAAAGGGAAGAGTTAGGGGGAAGTGAGAATAAGGAAGGTGGACTTATTTAGGGGGAGTAGAGAATAAAGGGGAGAAGAGCAAGGGGAGAGGAAAGTAAGGGAGGAGATGAAAAGAATGGTAGAAGGGAGAGGGGGAAGAGGAAAGCAGGTCAAGAGGAAAAAATCAACAGGTAAAATGAAGATGGAAAATAAGTGGAACTAGGGAACAAGGGGAATGGGAAAGCAGGAAAAAAGGAGAGAGAGAGAGAGTTAGCAGGAATGTAAGAGGGGGAAGGAAGTGAAGTGTATATGGGTAAGAGAGAGAGAGAGAGAGAGAGAGAGAGAGAGGGGAGGGGGGAGAAGGTAGAGAGAAAAAAAAAGAGAACGAGGGGAATGAAGACTTGTTAACAAAAGGGGAATGAACCTATGAACATGTTGCAAACCTACCAACCAAAAAACACATATCAAAATAAAATACATGCTATCAATACAAGTACAGGTACTTGATTATCACAAAATAAAAACAATATGTATTAATAACATTAACCCTTTCACTGTCCAGATCCCCAAAACAAATATTTCTATCAGTTTCCAAAGTTTTATACATACTCTTTCTGAAGGTAATGACACCAAAAAGTACAAAATTTAGTTAAACATTTACAGAATTACGCAAATGAAAAGCTGGCGGTCTGGGTACAATTTATGCATCAGCGATTTTGCTCAATGTGACCAATTATGTAAGTGCGTTTGTACGTGTATGTTTGGGGGTCTGAAATGGACTAATCTAATTCACAATATTCCTTATGGGAACAAATTCGTTCAGTAATGGCACCTGAACATACTTCTGGTATGAAATAATATCGTAAGCCGGGGGTCCACTATAATTTACTTAATGTTGTACAAATATTTTAAGGCAATTCCAATGCTCCAATATTAGCTATTTCGCTAGTATGCCTCCTATTATATTCACCGAACAGAAGACAATGCCCATTCGAGTAACTACTGTATGAAGAGCACAAGTCAGTAATTTGGCTAATTTTACACAAAAAATATTCCTGGCACTAAAACATTTCTTCCGTTCATTATGTCCCCAGGCCTCCAGTTAAAATTCATCACAAAAAATCGAAGACTTACCCTATGCCTCAGATAATAATATATACCCAGGACTATGGTAAGATTTTGTTGATTTTTAACCCCAGAGGGTTAGACATCCACGATAACCCACGAAAGTCAGTGCATCACTGAGGGCTGTCTCATTTCCACTGGGGTCCTTCAATCTTGTCCCTAAGGAAGTGACCCACACCCAAGCAACTACGTGCTTGCTAGGTGAATGGGAACAAAGGGGTAAGGAAACGTCCAATGTTTCCAAACATTGATCTATGTTCACTCGCGTAGCGCTCTGAGCGTAGATCTACTTTTTTTACATTCTTTCTTATGGAGAAAATTAAGGTTGGAGCGCTACACGCGCAAATGTAGATCTACGTTTGGACAGTTTAAGGGTTAAAGTATTTGACTATCCCATAAAAAGTGCTGTACCATAAATCACTCTCACCAAAAACTTATACACTGGGATATGGCAGTACTGTAATTGAATGATACAATACATGAATACTCATATCAATATAACATGACTATAGCTATAATTTAATAATGGTTAGCATGACTGTTGTTATAACGTGACTTAATATAACACTAATGCTACAGTGGTACCTCAGGATATGAACTTAATTCGCTCCAGAAAGATGTTCGAGTGCCGATACTGAACGAACTTGTTCCCACGAAGATGATGTGAATTAGATTATTCAGTTTCAGACAAAAGCACTTACATAAATACACTTCCATAATTGTTCGAGTTTTGAGCTGTTCGTATCCTGAGGTACCACTGTATATGGATTAATACAAGGAGGCATGCATGACCATTAAAAAAAATATATAATAAAAGGCTACCATAAAATATAGCACAGAAGATGGCTCCATGTTTAGTCTTGCGCAGCAAGATTTTACAGCTGAGGGAGCTGGATATTTAGGTACTATGTACTCACTTATAATGACCAGTTTTGTTGAAAGCATCCTAGGTGTATTAGTGCTATTCAATTTTATATTCTGACTGCAGCAAATTTTTTTAGAAATTCAAGACTGAAATATAAACTTTAAAAAAAAAATGTATACACGAACATTTCAGAAACAAACAAGGTCCCTAGTGGTAGATCAATGCTGTATGATATATAATGGCTAATATTAGATTGGTATCAAAATCATCACTCCCCCATAAATAACAAAAAGGCACAATACCGTGACTGGAACGATACACAAATAACCCGCACATAAAAGAGAGAAGCTTACGACGACGTTTCGGTCCGACTTGGACCATTGACAAAGTCAATGGTCCAAGTCGGACCGAAACGTCGTCGTAAGCTTCTCTCTTTTATGTGTGGGTTATTTGTGCATCACTCCCCCATAATTTTAAAATTCTGCAGTTGTAGTTTTATCTATCCATCTACATAATTTTTTTTTTTAACATGCTGGCCATCTCCCACAGAGGCAGGGTGAAAAAAAAAAATTTCACCATAAGAACATAAGAAAGGAGGAACACTGCAGGAGGCCTGCTGGCCCATACTAGGCAGGTCCTTTACAATTCATCCCACTAACAAAACATTTGCCCAACTCACACTATCACTGTCTTTCCAGAGGCGTGCAGCTATGATAGCTTAGATGTCACTCTAAACAGCAAATATCCCAAAACACTTTTTTTTTTATAGAACGCAGGTATTGTACTTCCCACCTCCAGGACTCAAATCTGGCTAACTGGTATCCCCAAATTACTTCACAAAATATTACCCTGCTCACACTCTAACAGCTCATCAAGTCCCATACACTATTCATCTCGACTCACTCCTAACACACACATGCATTATTTATCTTAAATACCATAGTTTAAATGTAATCATTTCACTTTTTTTTTTTAAACAAGTTGGCCATCTCCCACCTAACAACCTATGACCAATATCAATATGTCATTCCACATCAAATGAACGGGACTCAATGAGAACAAAATTATCTTACGCATTCGGTAAAAAATGAAATATGTGTAGCAATGTTTGACGAGTAAATTACATTTTAATATAAATTTTGTTACATTAACTAGTTCCTAGAATAATTATTTGTGATTATTTTTCTTCTACAAAACATCTTTACGAGATTAATAAAACTGAAAAAAATAATTTCATTACGAACTCCAAGAAATGCACTTTTACTGATTAATTTCCACCAAACAAATACAAGTCCACCATATGCATATATGGCGCACACAAATACCGTATTTGAAAAAATCCTATAAAAATCTGAAGCATAAAATTAATAAATCTACATTTCTCGGCCAATTATTCCCAATAAATAGAAGCTTATGATACAGGTATAAAATTAAAATACCATAAATGGAAAAATGATTTACAGAATTTGGTTAGCATAACTTTACCTACCTTGTCTGTGATCAATGCAGTAGCATCACGACACATTATAATAATCATGGGGGAGCGCTAAACCCGTAGGATTATACAGTGCACGTGGGAAGGGGATGGAAGGTATTCAGGCTCAATTCAGGAAAACGGCACAGATCCAATTCCCTAGATCAAGAGCCCCTCACCAGCGTCAAGGAACCTCCCTTGAGGGGGCACAATGATACAGACATCACTCACTGATTTGAATTTCCTCTTCCTCTTCAAATGCTGTTGACTAACATTGTTCCTTATCATATTTTTAGTAAAAATGATGAAAACTAAAAAAATTATGAAATGGCTTCAATTTTAAATATGCATATGATTTTCAAAAAACTATCACATTCATTTGATCGTAAAAATAATACACTTCGTAAGGAGGAATTAGCGTCTAATTGTGAATATTATCATCAAACTAAGCTCTAAATCACCCGGGTCTAATTGTGAATAAATAACGAATGTTTATTAAAATAAACTAATAAAACGAATACCAAAGAATAAGGAATAATTTATACCAGTACTACCTCTTTCTTATGTAGGAGTAACTGAAATGTATTAATTAAGTCCCCCTTTTGTTTTCTCTCTCTTTCACCTTTATTTTTTTATGTATGCAATGAGGTAATTAAATTAACTGGGAAGCACTAAATCCATAGGGGTAATGCAGTGCCTGGAGAATTTAGATGAATAGGGAAGTTTCAAGTTCCTTAGATCAAAAGCCCTTCATCAACATCAAGACTGCCTTGAAGGGTACTCAAGAGATGTACTTCTGTTATTATTATTACATTCATGGGGAAGCACTAACCCTTAGGGGTCATACAGCATTTAACAGCATGGAAGGCATTTGGACTACTCAACAAATTGGGGCACAGGTTCAATTCCTTAGATCAAGAGCCCCTCACTAGCATCAGGGAACCTCCAATTTACTTTCACCTCAACTTCACGGATCTGGAGAATGTAGAGGACCTTCACTCTATGTATAAGAGTTTGGTAAAGCACCTCAGTTACTGGGAATGTTTGAAGTCCCTTGGCCTGTACTCCCTGGAGTACAGGCGAGAAGGGTACATTGTAATTTACCCCCTGGAAAATCCTTGAGGGACTGGTCCCAAATCTTCACACCAAATCACTTCCTATGAAAGCAAAAGACTCGGCAGATGGTGTAACATCCCCCAAATGAAAAGCAGGGGTGCTATGAGTACAATTAAAGAAACAAGTGTTAGGGGTCCAAGGCTGTTCAGCAGCCTCCCATACATATGGGGGATAAACAATAGACCCTTATCCGTCTTCAAGAGGGAATGGTACTGATACCTAGAGTAAGTGCCTAACCAGCCGGGCTGTGGGTCGTACCTTGGATTGAACGTGGCCAGCAGTAATAGCCTGGTTGATCAGGCCTTTTCATGGACTGGGTCACAGGGCAATTCAAAACCAGAACTCCCTCCAGGTCGAGATATGAAGGGGTGGCTATATGCAAGTTCGACATTTAACCAAAGAAGCATTAAACTGGCTGCCTGGTAGTAATAATTATAAAGAATGTGATGCTTCGGCAACGACTGGGAATCTTTGTTGTGGAAAGATTTCATCGGCCAATAAAAATTCTCAAATGTTGCACAAATCACTTATTCTTTACCTTAACAGTTTTCCAAACCCATTTACATCACAGTAATAATTATGTCCACGTGTGGGGGGAGTCGACTCAGGTACCCCCATACCTCTACCCACGACCATTCTGGCAATAAATGTATTAAATTTATGTACAGGTACATGCAAGTACAATTATTATACGTAGTAAGAGGTATAAATTACCCACCAGGATAACCAAAAAAAAAGTCAGTGACATTTCTATTGGGGTCCTTGTAATATCTTATTATTTAAAGCCTCAAATTAAAACTATGCACCGGACAGTCTTAGTTCTAATTGATGATTACCCAAAACACTATTCATACGACAGGCTTTCAAATTAGTGCTTTTTTAAATCTGAAACAAAAATTATTAGGTGTGGAAACAAACCTACCGGAAAATAGTCTACGAGAAAGTTTAAACCTAATAATTAAACTTTCTACAATGTAGTTAAGGTGACAAGTGTTAGAAACGTTGTATATTATATAATTTAGAGAAAAAAAAAAATTCTGCACACAGGTATTATTATTAACATAAAAAAGAAAGCACTAAACCTACAAGGGTTTAAGCTATTATAACTGATATGGTAAACAAAGACATTTAGATTGAAATTATAGCCACGGAGACCCAGTCAATATTGTATTGAAGGACGAGCACTAAACCCACAGCGGTCATGCAACGCTACGGGAACGGAAGGCAGATTCGAGCCTAGGTAGCTCCAATTCCCTGAACCAAGAACCCTTCCAGAGCACCAAAAACACTAGGGGTATTAAATTAGGACCCCAATGGAAATAAGTTATCCCAGGTAATTTACACATACGCTGCCACGTACGATAATCTACGTAACTGTTTATTTGAAGACACTAACTGGAAACCCGAGCCTATGCCCCTCCCCCCCTGGATAAATCCCTGCCCTCACCCCTCTGGATAAATCCCTGCCCCCCTCACCCCCCTGGATAAATCCCTGCCCCCCTTCCCCCCCTGGATAAATCCCTGCCCCCTTCCCCCCCGGGAAATAAATCCCTGCCCCCCTTCCCCCCTGGATAAATCCTGCCCCCCTCCCCCCTGGATAAATCCCTGCCCCCCCTCACCCCCCTGGATAAATCCCTACAAGCACACTCCTCCCTCAATACACCCCCTCTCCACCACCAACAAACTATATACACTAAATTATATCATAAACCATAATATTATAAACCGTATTATAAACCATTACAACTCTGCCCAAGCCAGAGCCCCCCCTCCCCCCCTTGATAATCCCAGGGCGCCTAAGCCTCTTCCCTCCCTCCATCTCCCTCAACACATCTCCCTCTCACCACCATTAAACAAAACAAACCATATACACTAAATTATTAATTATAACCCAGGAAACCCAAGCCTATGCACCCCCTCCCCCCCCCCCCTAGATAAATCCCGGCAAGGCAGTGTCGTCCAGCCTCCTCCCTCCACCACCTCTCCCTCAACACACCTCCCTCTCCCTCTCACCACCACTCCCCCACCACTCAACAGCACACTATCACCAACAAACACACTAATATAGATCTTACTCGTCGCTAGCATTACTCTCCATGTTGATGGGTGCAAATGGCGTCCCTTTCCACCCGCCGCTCGATGAAAACAGACAAAACAAACCTAAAATTATTCCCCGTTAAAATCGTTAATATCTCCTCTGTGACAGCTTTAAAAATTATTTCGTGGTAAATGTATTTTTTAGCATTAACTTTTCTTGGTAATGTTTAGTGTAAGAGTGTTAGAAAAATTAGTTGGGTTAAATTATAGACGTTACTTGACTATGGCCGCGAGGCGGGATTTTCGAAAATAGCGTCACTTTTAATATGGATAAAATTACCACATTCCTTACCTTCATGTGTATTATGGATATATATAAGCAATTTATTCCTTCATTTAAAATGAACTAAAATAACATCAAATGTTATTTCAGCCTGGATAAAATTACCACATTCCTTACCTTCATGTGTATTATGGGAACATAAAAGCAATTTATTTTTAATAAGTGTCACTGTATCTGACTTTTTTGGGCTATCCTGGACGGTAATTTATACTATGTATGATAATTGTACTTATGTGTACCTGTGTCTAAATAAGCTTACTATACATAAACTTTTTTGGGTTACCCCAGGTTGTCTACACACATGCTGCTATGTATGATAATCTATGTATAACTATATTTGTGTATACCTGAATAAACTTACTTACCAGCAAAGTTCCACAAGGGTCAGTATTAATAATAATATAATATTAATAATCTTTATTTCTACATGTACATGTACAGTAGAAACATAAACACATATGCAATTTAATGTGATTCTTTATTGACAACGTTTTGCCCACACAGTGGGCTTTTTCAAGTCATACACAGATCTACCTGGGGTGGAAGGTACGGGAGTATTTACGTATAGTCTATAAATATAAATAATATAAATACTCCCGTACCTTCCACCCCAGGTAGATCTGTGTATGACTTGAAAAAGCCCACTGTGTGGGCGAAACGTTGTCAATAAAGGATCACATTAAACTGCATATGTGTTTATGTTTCCAGTGTGTCGGTATTTTATACCATTTATTTTCACATGTACAGTAGTTTGTTTTATGTAAATGACATTGCAGATGGGACTGACTCAGATATATTCCTGTTTCCTGATGTAATACTAATGAGAATCAAAACAGATAAGAACAAGGAAAGGCTTCAAAGGCATTTGGACAATCTACAATAGTAGTCAAGTGGTTCTTGAATTCAGGGATATGTTGTGTATCTTTATACGTATATGCTTCTAAACTGTTGTATTCTGAGTATCTCTGCAAAAGCAGTGATTATGTGTGAGTGTGGTGAAAGTGTTGAATGATGATGAAAGTATTTTCTTTTTGGGGATTTTCTTTCTTTTTTGGGTCACCCTGCCTCGGTGGGAGACGACCGACTTGTTGAAAAAAAAAAAAAAATGTAAATAGTTCATTATCTTCGTAACTTCTTCAGATATCAAAACTCTGCAGCCGAGTCCCTGGACCCCATTATGTACCTCTGTAATCCTTTGGCTACCAACCACAGGATGGGTACGGGGTGCATAATAAAAGCTAAACTAACTAATAACCGAATTCAACCCAGTGAATATAGGGTTATGAACATGGGGGGAAGGAGCAAGAAGTCCGAGTAAAGACTAAGTGGGCAGAGACTGCAGACTTCACTTGCAGAGAGAGATCCAGAGGTGAGCATAGTGCCCAGTATATTGCCAGAGGCTCACATCACCCAAATAACCTCTGCAGCAAAACTTATCAGGCAAAACTATGGGTAGCCTTCAGGAATCTCAGCTTAAGTCGTTCCTAGTTTTTATACATGTTAGGCCCATCTTAAAGTATGCAGCACGAGTATGGAACCCACACATTAAAGGGCATGCTAAGGTGATACTGAAGATAGTGCAGAAGTATGTTCCTGTGAGCTATGAGGAGATGCTAAGAGAATTAGATCTAATGTAGCTCAGTTGGTAGCACGCTCAACTCTCACACTGAGGTCCGTGGCTCGATCCCTGGTACGGGTGATAACATTAGGACGTGTTTCCTTAAGACACCTGCTGTCCCTGTTCACTTAGCAGGAAGTAGGTATCTGGGTGTTAGCCAACTGGTGTGGATGGCATCCTAGGGACAAAATTAACTTTAATTTGCCCATAGTATGCCAGCTATGGTCTCTATAAGTTGCATCGATGAAATAAAGATTAGGTATTATTATTATATTGGAGCCAATTAGAACCAGGGGGAGGGGACATATTAGCATACAAAATATTTAGGGAAATTGAAAAGGTAGACAGGAATAGGCTGTTTGAGAGGTGAGAAATGGGAACTAGGGAGAGACAGCCAAAAAGTTTAAGTTACAGATGAGCCACAGAGATGTTAGGAAGTACTTCTCGTCTCAGAATGGAATGATCTTAGAGAGGAAGTGGTGGAAGCTGACCCCTTATGTAGTTTTAAGAGCAGGTATGACAAGGCTCAAGAGACCAAGACAATCTGGGGTACCAAGAGGCAGGGGCCAGGATCTGAGACTTAACCTCTGTAACCACAACTAGGTGAGCACACACACACACATCAAGTCATAATGAATGATTCCCAATGAACAAAGAGAATGGAAGACGACTCAACCTACAAATACTATATCTCTTCCATGCATCTTATAACTAAAGTATGCATATAAAAGCCTGATAACATGCTTACACTATCATTAAATGAGCAATATGGTTTGGCTTAAAAAATGCATATACAGTGGACCCCCGCATAACGATTACCTCCGAATGCGACCAATTATGTAAGTGTATTTATGTAAGTGCGTTTGTACGTGTATGTTTGGGGGTCTGAAATGGACTAATCTACTTCACAATATTCCTTATGGGAACAAATTCGGTCAGTACTGGCACCTGAACATACTTCTGGAGTGAAAAAATATCGTTAACCGGGGGTCCACTGTACAGTACACACATTACTCTCCTTCAAATACTTTCATCTTTAGCTTAGAGTGGTGAATACAGTGGACCCCGGTTTACGATATTATTTCATTCCAGAAGTATGTTCAGGTGCCAGTACTGAACGAATTTGTTCCCATAAGGAATATTGTGAATTAGATTAGTCCATTTCAGACCCTCAAACATACACGTACAAACGCACTTACATAAATACACTTACATTAGGTAGTAGGTTGGTAGACAGCAACCACCCAGGGAAGTACTACCGTCCTGCCAGATGACTGTGAAACAAAAACCTGTAACTGTTTTGCATGATGGTAGGATTGCTGGTTTCTTTTTCTGTCTCATAAACACGCTAAGATAACAGGGATATCTTGCTACTCCTACTTACACTTTGGTCACACTTCACAGACACGCACATGCATATATATATATACATACATCTAGGTTTTTCTCCTTTTTCTAAATAGCTCTTGTTCTTTTTTATTTCTTCTATTGTCCATGGGGAAGTGGAAAAGAATCTTTCCTCCGTAAGCCATGCGTGTCGTATGAGGCGACTAAAATGCCGGAGCAATGGGCTAGTAACCCCTCTCCTGTATACAATTACTAAAAAAGAGAAGAAGAAAAACTTTATAAAACTGGGTTGCTTAAATGTGCGTGGATGTAGTGCGGATGACAAGAAACAGATGATTGCTGATGTTATGAATGAAAAGAAGTTGGATGTCCTGGCCCTAAGCGAAACAAAAGCTGAAGGGGTAGGAGAGTTTCAGTGGGGGGAAATAAATGGGATTAAATCTGGAGTATCTGAGAGAGTTAGAGCAAAGGAAGGGGTAGCAGTAATGTTAAATGATCAGTTATGGAAGGAGAAAAGAGAATATGAATGTGTAAATTCAAGAATTATGTGGATTAAAGTAAAGGTTGGATGCGAGAAGTGGGTCATAATAAGCGTGTATGCACCTGGAGAAGAGAGGAATGCAGAGGAGAGAGAGAGATTTTGGGAGATGTTAAGTGAATGTATAGGAGCCTTTGAACCAAGTGAGAGAGTAATTGTGGTAGGGGACTTGAATGCTAAAGTAGGAGAAACTTTTAGAGAGGGTGTGGTAGGTAAGTTTGGGGTGCCAGGTGTAAATGATAATGGGAGCCCTTTGATTGAACTTTGTATAGAAAGGGGTTTAGTTATAGGTAATACATATTTTAAGAAAAAGAGGATAAATAAGTATACACGATATGATGTAGGGCGAAATGACAGTAGTTTGTTGGATTATGTATTGGTAGATAAAAGACTGTTGAGTAGACTTCAGGATGTACATGTTTATAGAGGGGCCACAGATATATCAGATCACTTTCTAGTTGTAGCTACACTGAGAGTAAAAGGTAGATGGGATACAAGGAGAATAGAAGCATCAGGGAAGAGAGAGGTGAAGGTTTATAAACTAAAAGAGGAGGCAGTTAGGGTAAGATATAAACAGCTATTGGAGGATAGATGGGCTAATGAAGCATAGGCAATGGGGTCGAAGAGGTATGGGGTAGGTTTAAAAATGTAGTGTTAGAGTGTTCAGCAGAAGTTTGTGGTTACAGGAAAGTGGGTGCAGGAGGGAAGAGGAGCGATTGGTGGAATGATGATGTAAAGAGAGTAGTAAGGGAGAAAAAGTTAGCATATGAGAAGTTTTTACAAAGTAGAAGTGATGCAAGGAGGGAAGAGTATATGGAGAAAAAGAGAGAAGTTAAGAGAGTGGTGAAGCAATGTAAAAAGAGAGCAAATGAGAGAGTGGGTGAGATGTTATCAACAAATTTTGTTGAAAATAAGAAAAAGTTTTGGAGTGAGATTAACAAGTTAAGAAAGCCTAGAGAACAAATGGATTTGTCAGTTAAAAATAGGAGAGGAGAGTTATTAAATGGAGAGTTAGAGGTATTGGGAAGATGGAAGGAATATTTTGAGGAATTGTTAAATGTTGATGAAGATAGGGAAGCTGTGATTTCGTGTATAGGGCAAGGAGGAATAACATCTTGTAGGAGTGAGGAAGAGCCAGTTGTGAGTGTGGGGGAAGTTCGTGAGGCAGTAGGTAAAATGAAAGGGGTAAGGCAGCCGGGATTGATGGGATAAAGATAGAAATGTTAAAAGCAGGTGGGGATATAGTTTTGGAGTGGTTGGTGCAATTATTTAATAAATGTATGGAAGAGGGTAAGGTACCTAGGGATTGGCAGAGAGCATGCATAGTTCCT